TAGAATGACTTGGAAGTGGCTTAGCCCCCGAAGTCGTGATTAAAGCCAACCGCAGTTACATTAAAAAAGAGTGTCGGTGAGGACCATCTGTGTCAACAGGTGCGGGAAGATGTCATCAATATATCTGTTTCCGTTTAGCTGTAAGCTATACACGAGTAGCATGAATTTTACCTTGTTTTATCCTAAACACCCTGTGGCGTATATAAAGTGATTGATTGATCCATATATATATATATATATATATACATATATATAAGCTCTGCGAGCACGAGTACGTCAACTACCACCAACAAAAACAATAATGGCAATATGTAAACGAAATTCAATGGTGTAAAATTGTTCCATTCAACTTGAAATAATAATGTTATATTATCAGGATATTATATATCAGACTTGACCAACTAATACAAGTAATTTTAACCATAGGTTATAACAGGAGAGGTCGCGCTATGCTAGGAACAGAAAGTAAGCGATGATAACACCAAAAACAAAAAGAAATATAGCTAGCAACTAAGAAACAACTTAGAAGAAACTTACTTCTAATCACTGCCTTCATGGGGACGTGTAATACACTTAATGATTAGTATATATTACCATCAAATATCGTTTTCTGTGTAACGAATACGAACAATAATACTTAATATTATTACTACTTCAACTATAGTCATTCAAATGGTGTCTCGGATGCTTTTGTGCGGCTTCTATATTTGTTATTAATAAATGAATATTTTAAAAAGCACGAAACTATAGACATTTTGAAATACTGTGTATTCTTTATAAAACCCAATCGACTCACTGGAAATTTTATACAAAGTATCTGAATTTTAAAGGCTACTAATTTCACGTTAGCTAGTAAGAGTACTAGCTAACGTAGAAGCACGAATAAAGGAAATTGGAGATTTGTGCTTCATAATAGTTTTATGATTATTATTATATTTGATTAAACCGACGGTTTAATGGTTGATGGGTCACATTTTATTTGTACATTGTTGTAAAAAGGCTCACGGTGGGAATTCTAGTGAATGCATCCGTTCGTATTTTTAACAATAATCTTTTTTTCTTTAATAATAATAAATAACAATAATACTACTAATAAAGTATAAGTCGTTGAAAGCTTAGTGTCAGAATCTACTTGTAATCAGTATGCAAAGCGGATGTGTGCTCAGTTGCCTTAGCGTGATCCCTACTTTCTATCACAATAATTCATTTTGAGTTAAGCACAAGTCATTTCGTGCTTTCTCATGATTTCTCCATCGTTTGCTCAATCTGTGCGGTAAATATCTTTTTTTAGCAGCAGAAATGTTCCTGGTGTCTCGTCATCAGTGAAGAGAGCATTCCCGTTCTTTGTGAGCATAGCACCTCGTTCTCAAAATCTTCAACAATTGACTTGGCTTCTAGGAGACGAAGAATTTAAGTGTAACGTATCAGGAATACCAAGGAATTAGCCGCGGTGCATCGTAAATATTATTTATACGATAACTCAAACTTTGTTTTGTTTCTTGTTGAGATAAAGTTTCAAACAGGTACCATAGACCTTTAATTTTTAGTCAGCCACCAGGTGGCGCTCAAAGGTATACTTCACCTATATTAGTTTATTTATTAATGTACGGGTGCGCTTCCTGGACATAGAAGTAGCGTATTACGGAAAGGGGACCTACACGCTTGTTGGTCTAGGGTCTCCATGGGGACAGTCTCCTCCACTCCACCTTTCTCTATGGATTGGTCGCTCCTTGCCATTGGCGTCGTGCGCCGAAGGTCTACACACTGCATGATAGGTCTAGGTACATACTTCGGTGGGTTGTTGCCACTTGCGGTTACCTCCCCTCAGAGCTGTCGAGAACTAACTCTGCACGAGAAGGAGCTATGAGTTACTCGAGATATCTGTCCACTTAGCTTCTGGAAGAGCGTATCTAAGGCTTACGACGGCTTGCTACCATGCGGCCATTTTTTTGTTCACTCAAACAGTGCCCTGATATGGTTTAGTTGGCAATATGACTTGCGATTGTAAATACTAACCAAATGTCCGTATGAAGATTGGTAATACAGTGACGCACATCTTTCGACTGATCAGCTTAACAGGTGCTGAATGTACTTTAACACGTTAATAGCCTGCTAGAGCTTTCGTAGTTAGCCTTGTTATAATCTCGTTCATAGCAATGGGGTGCAACGAATAAGGTTGGTTGAATCTTGGCTGGAAGCTGCCCTTCTGGATGATGTAGGGCGCAATTTCGTTGCTGTTTACCGAAAACAGTTAGTGACGACACTGTCCTGCTGCGGACGCACTATGAAGCTAATATGGTTGCTTAGCCTGGTGTCAATGGCAGCTTTTGCCGACGGGCTGACGTTTCAAAACCTTGTCCACACCAATCAGGTACGAAGGCATTATCTAAATAAGCGCACATGTTGTCTAAGAATGTTAATTTGCTAAATGTTTGCCATATAATAGAAGACCAAACATAAGGTCCTGCATTTTTATTAAATAGTAATATTCTGTACTTATATAGTTGAGAGTGACGTAACATTTTTAGAAAACATGGCATCTTTCGTTTAAGTACAAACCCGTTGCATTAAGAAATTGAATTTTCAGTATGTAAATATTCCAGCGATTCGTTGTCATCACTTTAGTCAATTATATCCATGTTCAACAATGTAAGCACGGAACATGATTTTCTGAAGTTGTTTTCTGTCTTCGTTGGATTTCTCAAGCTAAGTTTGTTTGTGTTGCTTATTCTTGTCATATCTGGTTTTCGGTAGAAAATCAAAGCGTTTAGTTCTATTTAGGAGGTCCTTAACGATATGTTTGTCGGCTTCACGTCTAATGACTCATATAGATAATTGGTTTATGGAAAATGTAGATTTTAGTCTGTACGGTAAGTATTAATCGCTAACGTTTGAAATACCCTACTCCGTCTCTAACTTCTCCTGTTTTCAGTAAAGTTCCACAATACGCTTGTACCTCAAAAAGGGACATCTGCCAGATGATATAATGCAGAGGCTACTAGCTTAAGAATCGCTAACGGAAAAATTGGCGTATTCTAACTTCTGATAATTTTTTATCTTATTTGAACATTTGGGTTTATGCTCCCGTCTTGTTAGCGCTCCGTCGTCGTCGTCGTCGTCCGTCAAAATCTGAATCAGCCGTATCATTTTAATTTTTCACAGTCTTAAACTTTATTTATTCATTTATAAAGTTTTCCCGGCTAAGGCTATCGACCAGCGATGGACAAATATATCTGAGCCTTATAGATCTCACCGCTTGAAAAAAGGTATCACTTACCGAACAGAGTTAGTTTGTTGGCTTATTATTAGCTATGTTATATTAGAAAGGCGAGAACCTGGCCATTGGTGATCAAACCTAAAATAGGACGCTTTCCATTTTGTGCGACTTCATGGTTTTCCTTTCCGCGAAAGATTGCGAATTATTGGCGCCAACTTTGCAATCAGTCGTTGGATAACAAATGGAACTTGGCGGCATTGCAAAGGAAATTTTGCGACAATTTTAAATCATGTTAGTATTGGTCCTTTCATCGTCTCTCGTATAAATCTCTAGGTGTAAAATGTAACAATGCAGTAACGAATTTGTTTGCGTGTACGGACGCGTTGGGCCAAGGTCAGGCAAATAAATACGAGTAGGGAAATCGTTTGAATAGAGACAACTGCTTTCGTACTATAACTTGCGATTGTCCTGATTTGTTTATTTTCACTAAATCGGGTGCAGTGTACGAAAATGATCGATATGTAAATATTACGCAAATACTGAATTATAGTAAATGAACCTCTGCGCATAGTAATCTAGTGCCAGGACTTCTCATAATGTTATATCGTAGAAATATTTCGTCCATTTTAAAGCATTTATAGCTCGGTAACGGATTGACGCCAATATCTAAAAGTAGGTTACTTATTCATAAACATAATAAAGTTAGCTATTTTCCTTCAGCTAGATAAAATGGGCTACAAAAAAGAAAGTAAAGCGAAAAACGTGAAAATATATTCTCGATCTCGAAACAATTTATTTCAAGGACCCCATACAGTAAAACCCCATTTGCGCGTAGGGTCGTTTCGATCACTGTTATGCATGCCTTAATAAAAAATGAGCGTCGAAAAGATGTTTACTTCGGAGTCTATTAATTGAATCTATATTATGTCAAATGAGCTTCTCCGAGTTTAGACGAAAAGTCAATGTTTGTCTATACGCTCAAGCGACGGGTGTACGCAGCTTCAGCCAGCTGCTATTGTTTTGTAGGTGCTGTCCTACTTTCATTTATGTGTATCTACAGACTTGCCTAAACAATCGCTATCAGGCCGTTACATTAACATGGTCAGTTAGAAAGCATCTGCTCCTCAGCTTCGCAGTATTTTGTGTTGATCATACCCAACAGCTAAATGACTGCTCGTTTAAGTAAAAGCTTAACTCAATATGGCATTACTTAGGTACTCACTATTGGGCGTATATAGAGCCGAACGTTTTTACCTTACCTTAACACAATGCAAATCCGCCTTCATTCGAGTTTGATATATATATATATTCTGTACGTACGTGTAAAAGGAGGCTTGATGATACACACTTGAAGTTGTGGACTACATGATGTGTTTGATCTGAGGGCCGATAGGTTTCAACCTAGCCATTGTAAGCCATGTCTATTGTTTTATATACAGGGAAATAGTCTCTAAAAAACAGTTCCAGCCTGATCCGGACTTGCCATTTTCGAATTTATCCGCTTCAATTTAGGCTGACTGAGAGCCAGATTCTAATGTCGATACGTGCTAGTCCTCGCGTATTGATAGAGGCATAATTTATTTACAAACGCGCTACAATATAATTCTATTCAAACCACAGCAGATTTGCTCCTGGAGAAATCTAAACTAACGGGACCTGAATATTAGCGATCATAGAGTACAGACTGAAGTTACAAACCAGTTGTTGGATCCATACATGAATGAGCGGCAGTACGGATCACTCGAAGTTTTACAGCCGCTCCAAAATCGCCTCCAACGTTTAAAGTCTTTATAGGTAAAAAATCTTAAAGTCTTTATGGGTATAAGTTATCGTAAAAGCAACGTACCAGGATGGCCATTGCGCGATTTAAATGAAAAGGCGATAGCGTCGTCATCTACCTGTTCTACACGATCACTGCAAATTATATTCCATTGCTACATTAAATATATCTAATTAAAATGGCAATCCATTTACCCCAGGGCAATCCCTGTATAGCCAAAACTACACAGATTAAACGAACCTAATTTATGGAATAATTACATTTTCGATCTTTGAACTAGCGCAAGGTCATTCTTAGCAGAAATTACATTTTTATGGTTATAATAAATAGTCTGTGGGCATTTTTCCAATTCGCTGAAGGTCATTTAGTCAACCGAAGATCTGAACTCCCTCGAATCGTCGAACTTGTACATTTTGGAGTAAAGTCCAGGAGCGGCCCGTTGATCTAGATAAATGCAAGCCTAAATGTAACGGACGCTGTTTACGCTCTGACTATAGACGACAAATTACCTGCCTGAGCAGCACATCTCCTATTTACTCCATTTATATATACAGCTCCATCTACTATTCGGCAACGTTAGATCGGGTACTTGTCATCATTTTCTGTTTACAAGAGATAGCTGGTGACTATTTAAATTAGTATAATAATATATTAGTGACCGAACGGCTATTGTTCGATAATTTGCTCCATCATCATGGTTTCTGTTCGTCAGGGTATGGTTTTTGTATTTCAAGTAGCTACTGAAACTTATTGCACACACGTCGCGTTCCGCATTCACGCGCGTCATAAATAGCGTGTGTTATCGCATACTAGATCGACATCTTCATAATAGTCTCGATATGCAATGGTCTTATTGGTCTTGACTGTTCGTGTGCCAGTAGAAGGGCTTGTTTAGATAGCAGAGTGTGGAAACGATACAAAAAAATAAAACATTGTCCTAAAATACATCAAAATCACTCAATTTAGGATACTGTTATCTTGTTTCTACTAGCAACATATACATATTAGCAGACGAACCGCTAAAGGAGAGTTTAGGTCCTTTAATGAAGCTCATTTGGCTAGTGTCGAGTCTATGGGAAGTTAAAATCACAATAGCGAGAATTTCGTCGAGACTCAACATAAACTCCCACACAGGACAGTATAACGTGATTATGAAAAGATAAATCATTTACAACCGCAAATATATATGTAGAAAATTCGACGGGAAACAAGAATGAGTAGATCATTGTTCAGTGCGCAAATGCAAAGGAAGAATGAAAGTTTATATGAAAACCAAATGTCCAAGTTCTCGCAGTTGCTCATTTTCACGCGACAGACGCTAGGAAACTGGTCACCCATATAGGCTTACAACACCTAATGCTACATGTTAAATTGAACAGCATAACCTTTTGTGCGAGCAACAGCCTTTCCAACACATTTCTTGGTAGAAAGAATAGAGCCTGCAAATATACCAGGTCCATAGATAGTTTCGTATCTGCTGCTTTAATAGATATTGGGGCAGTTAGGAACCTGGACGACAGCACTGCTTCTTATCAGAATTTGAATAAAATAATCGATGAGTTATAGCAAATCGATCATATTATTTCAGCAATAGTTTATCGCGCTTATAGAACTCGGAAGAATGTTCAAGGTGGAATAATTTGAATAGTAAAAAATATAGTTGAATATATACATATTTACTTTTTATCGATAATCTATCCGCAATTGTACACTGTTCTAAAGAATATGCAACGCTACATTAGACTCAAATGCACCCTTAGAACTCAACGTGTCCTTCTCTGTTTTTTTAGGAATGGGCCTTTCTTGGACGCTTCTGTTTCCTATCGCTTCGTGGACACTTTATCTACAACATCAGTTTTCCAAAGGTACGTCAATCGTTGGGTTCGAATTTCGTTGGAATCGAAAATTGGTAGTAACTTCGGTGGTGTGCAACTAAAACGGCTACAAACTGAAATAATTATATATACGCTATAATCCGGCATAATTAATCAGCCCTATTCCGAAACTCATGTTGATACAGATTTTCTTGCTGTGCCATTCCTTTGAATTATAGAAAGCTCACAGATGCAAGCCAAGCGATAGATATCTCCTACTGTTTTTATTACGATCTATGATTAGTTTTTAATAAACTGATGTTGACTACTTTGGTTTAATGTAAGTCTACGTACGTGAACCTCTGATCTGAACTTAAGTCAGTTTAACGATATATAATTAGGATTACGGGCCCGTCGAGCTTCTTCTGTATTACGACGCACCCGGCCTCTGGGAAGCTGTCTACCGCTCAAATAAGGTATGTTACTAACCTCTATTTACTGCCGTTCAATTTAAAATAGTTCAATAAAGAATTGAACAATTTTAAATTAGACCATATTTTATGCTTCTTATTCCTTAACAATCTCGAATCGCAGGAATATATTTTTTTAACGCGCTTAACGGTTCTTTAAAACAAGAGTGGTCTCTACATAACTAAAAGTTGTTTCTCAAAAGAAGCTTTCTATTCCAATGACGCATTTGGGCTATTTAAACTCTAAAAAAGATCGACAAGGACGGAATATGACCTGTAAAGTGTAAAATTTATTAATGTTTTGCCGAAGTTAATTATATAATATTTAGTAGCATGGCTATAACAATTTCAAAGGTGTTACTACTAAATGTAAATACGTATATAAGCCTGTATGTTAATCAGCGCGTAATGAAACAAATTCTGTTGTGCTTCATGCCTCATGGGCTTATTCACGATACAGGATTCAACAGATCGCATCCATTGACTGACATATTCAAATTTTCCTAGTCATTAGGTCAGGATTTGTATCTAAATATATCTTTAACATTCCAAAAAAACTTTGCGCTTTTGTCTATCATTTTATGGTATCCTCTTTAAACCAGACACCTTACCGATATGTTGCCGGCACGGAAAATACTTCATCATATTGATAAGAAAAATACTCTCGACGATACAGGAACTGATACGTTGCTAAGCACACTTTTCTCAAATTCGTAATCCGCAATTAACCCACAACCCACTGATAACCTGTATATGTAGTATATCTATTTGCAATTGAATGAGCAGCAATATTTTCATGATTAAGTTGGGTATTTTTTTCAACATTTGACAAGTTTTAGACTTTTCTTCCGAGATCAGCCATCAATCAGCTAATCCTTCACTGATATCTGCCTTTTGTTATAGACCTGTGTGGAACGCATAAAGCCTTTAGATCAGCGACGAAACCAGGTGATTCTACTTGAAGTAAATGAACGCGGATGCGTTTCATCGACGGATCCCTTGCCAAGGGTTCAGTGTTCTGGCATTATCGGGTTCCAGACTGCGCGTCCTCGGTGGTGGTATATTGCTACAGCGAACTGTCGAAAACGCGCGAATAAAAAAGCTAATTACACTGGTTTATATCTCAGGTATTCTTGAGCCATTCGATCAAACCGACAGCTTTTAACTTTCGTTGATCACTCTAAACTTATTCAAATTTGCAAACACATACCTTGCGGCCCCTTTAAGCGTTGACATGTGCGTTTACTGTCCTGGTTTAAGCGTAAAGCCGCCGCCTGTGTGATTTCACCCTATTACCCTATATCCTATAGCATTGAACACATCGTCTATCGCTTATAACTCAATTCCCAAATTAGCTACAACATAATGTTAATCGATACCGTATTGAATGTATTCATCTGACGGGTAAGTTATCTATATGCGAAATTACCATATTAAAACATAAGAACTTTCGATTAGTTTCTATCATCTCTCTCCACGAAACTTATAGGTCGTACATAACCTAGTCATGAAACGCTATCATCTCTTTCGGCCACAAGCAAATGAAATCAGTAATCATATATTTGACAGTGAAGAGATCCTTTTCAACGCCATTCCTGGTAACGATTAACCTGGTTGGAAGAAGGCCTTGGAGGGTGACGGTGAATACATAGGAAATCAATTTCTACTTGTAGCAGTAAAAGTACTAAGTCGATACACATGGTCAGCTTTCACGTATTCCTAATATGTCGATGAAGCAAGATCACCGTTCATACAAACGATAGTTCTATCGTGACAAATGTTTGACGTTTTCTATATAATACTAGTATTTAAAAATCGAATTTATTGGGCGTGTCGTTCGTCTTGCGTTTCCTTTCTTCCTTATAGATACCGACTGGACGCGCTAAACGACGCGGACCGCTGGTGGTTTATGCATTTTTCAGCCGATCAGTTTTGTAAGTTCGCAACACCAAGTTGATATTAATTGATGTTTTAGAAATATTACCGCATGGACTGTTTTTCTTCTGTAGATGCCGTGAATGGATGCGAAAAGCTCAACGGATAATTGTAAGGGGCATGCTTTGTCTAAATGGCCTAGACAAAATGTTGTGATTATTAATACTTACTGCCTTTGTTTATGGCGTGGTAATAAAGTGGCCGCCCCTGTTGTGTATGCTACTTAGAGGCAGAACAATGTTTAGAAGTGGGTCGCCCATTTTCAGATTGCTTTGAAATTAAGTATTAAAAGGTGTGTATATATATGTTATGCATATACACGTAATGTAATAATTAGCTATAACGTTCAGACAAAATGCAGAATATTGTCAATTTTACAGTTCATTCTTCTGTTAAACATAACATCCTATTGTGTGTCGACCTTTCTGAGGACAAACAACTTTTTTATGCTGATTTCTCTTTGCAGATATACTGCAGTTTGACATTGCATTTCTTGTCATCTACGTAATACTCTGCGGCCTCGCTTCATACACTGCCTGTGAGTATTGTCAAGCAAATGGTAATTCGTTCTAGTTTTTTTTTTACCTACTTATCAACTAGTCTCGTTGTATGCCTTTAATACATGAGACTCTAATATTTTGGTAAAATTCATCTCTTATCACATGTATAAATCAAGTTTTTTTTTTTCAGACTGCTTTATTTGTAGCTATGTTTATAAATACCTATAATTTAAATAAATGAAGATGTCGACTAAGTTTTTTCAACAATTTGATAGCCTTATCGGATAGATTCGGGCCTAAAACTCGGGATGTTATACGAGCCACTTTTGTGCTTATTCTGGCGCCAAATTTAAAATAAAGTAAGATGGCGTCCAGGACCTATGCGTTTGTATATTACTAACTCTTGTCACTATGGTGCCTATAATTACGTTAATAGTAAACAGGTTTCTCTTTCGTCACATTTAGGCAATAAAAATAAACGCGTTAGGGGTAAAAAAGGTTAACGACTTTTATTTCAAATCGACTATTTTATCCACTTCTATTATAACGAGAGCAATTAAACCCGGAATTTTGACGTGCGTGTATGAATTAGAGCTTCTTTGAAGCTTGTGAACTATACATTAGAGTGAATATTCTACATTCTTATAATCCAAATAATAATGATGTTGTTGTTAAAATGTATTTTGTGCCATCCTTCGGGTTCTCTTTTCAGATAAACTGAGTAGCCGTAATCTTCTGCATAAAACATACAAATTGTACCTTATCTCATTAGGCTTTCAGTTGGCTCATCTCATTATGATCATCGGCTATTACTACATTATAGCTGACTCTGGAGTGGATTATTCAGGGATAAAACTCATCGGTATGCTTGACAAGAAAAACCTCATTTTGAACAAGTCAAAGCACATTGCTTTTGACGTAAAGAACGGCGACACACGATTATTTTGCATTGTAACACATTGGATACCGCAAAACGATATAACTCATGAAAAGTGCGATTTCATATCTCTTTTTTCGGGTACTTGAGTGAAAAAGAAAGAGTTGACCTGCTTACGACAGAGAAATAAGCTATTTTAGTATCGAAGACTATCGTTTCATCCTTTCAGGCCCTGATGATAACACTATTAACAGGCTGACGATGCCAAGTAGATTTTACTACTATTAACAATAGCAGCGCGATTACCATTCCGATTTTTGTTGCTTACAGCAAACATCTTCACGACAGTATCGACACTTTCGCTTCAGCTAATGCTTTTGTTGATAGGAAAGGGCTACACGGTCACCCGCGCAAGGCTTAAAGCGAGAACGACAATCAAAATCCACGGTCTCATGGCCTCCTATGCGGTTCTGTATGTAAGCCTTCTCATGTACGAACAATGTGTAAGTGCCTTTGGAATAATTTTCCATTGATCAACTAGAAGCATATTTGAAAATAGACAACCATTATCGTTGTTATGAACCTTCCAGGGCATGACAATATAGCCGAATATACTAAATTTAGTATCACATAAACGCATAAAAAAAGCTTACTATTCATGTTATAACCTACTCATGGGTCTTAATCAATATACAGTCTCACGTGCATTCCACCAGAGGTCGCACTCACGAAGAAATTACAGATATCTTCTCAAGGCGCATAGTGATATAGTCATTATATATAATAGCAAAATCATACAAATAGAAATTTTAAAGGGACAAGTTTCGAGTTCTTTGTTAATTTTATCATACAGGTAGTTTATTATATGTCGATTTGAGCTAGCAATTATCCGCTCCTCTAGCCTAAGCTTTAGTCCATCAAGTAAAAAAAGAGTACTTTTAATGATGGTGAATTCCCTCTTTCGATTAGTTGTAAATGTACATAATAATAATAAGAAACTTTGCAGGTTAACTTCTATTTTTACTGATTACGATCACATCCAATATTGAAAAAAAAAAGGGCGGCGCACATTTATTTTAAGACACGTGAAACATTAAACAAAATTGTGCTCCGAATGTGACAAGTATTTTTTCGTCTAACTATTTTATTAATACTCTGTCTATCATTCGATCTGCTTGTTTAATGACATCTGCCGCCCGCAGGTGTTCGATCCGGGTTACGTACTGTACTTGTACGAATCGCCGGCTGGTTACGCAATTGTCGTTTTACGTCTTCTGTCGTGGGGCTGGTTTGTTTACGCAGTCGTATTTACGTTGTACAGATATCCAGAAAAGCTATCGTTTTACACTCAGTTAGTTGTTATCTACACGACGTGGTTCGTATCGATGCCGGCGCTGGTTCTTATAGCGACATTCGCTATTCCCAATTGGATTCGTGAAAAGAGCGTATCTTTCGTCGAAGAACTCATTATGGCCTTCGCGCATATCGCCTTCCTTGTAAGTTTCCACTTGTACAGACATGAGTCATTTATCCAAGAACATCTAAAGGTAGTGGTTCGTATTAATAACTATTAGCCCATCATCTTAGTCGCATGTTTCTCCAAGTATTGGCGAGGATCCTAAGATCCAGTTCACGAACCGTCTGGAAATTCGGTAAAATTCCGGTGTGTCCGCTATGCTATGGCTATTTATCCTACAGCATATAAAAATTTGCAATAAATGCTGTGCGACAATTAGCACTGACAATCCTAACTCGTGCCCAGGTAAAATGAAAAGTTGGAGTAAAGCATGTCACCCTGGATTAGAAAGCGTTCAAATGGCTATTGAAATATATGTGGGAAAATCCCTTTAGCGGTAAATTCTGCAAAGACAAGTTTTCTTCTAATGAGGGCCGCTCATTGCAAAAGCGAACTTGATCCCTTGTTCCCAGAAGAACAGGACTTGCTAGCTGTTTCCCCAGCCTTGGAATAGTGCTTCTAGGAATAGGACTTTTTGGATGGGGTGCTTTCGTCGGAAAGCGGTGTGGTCCTCTAGTCTCATCTTTGAGATACCTGAACGATATCGGAGGGTTGCTTGGAAGGGCAAACGCTTACTACATTCTACTTGAACTCTATTCCATAAATCAAAGCCACTCGTAACTTACACAGGGTATGTGTAAATTGGATAAAAAAAAAACGCGAAATTAGTAGCAAGGTTTGGTAGGAAGGAAAGAGACTCTGTGCGGAGTACGAACACAAAGCTGGTTGTCTTTCTAGCCTAACAGATCCGCAATTTAAGATCCGTTCTGATGGCCTATAAGGGATGATGAAAGGCTGTATCACTCCCGTACTCGTTAAGTGCACGTTGCTCCTAACATAACGATAACATTTGAGATAGTTGCGATAACATAACTAGGTAGAGACAGAGTTCAGCTGCCGTGTGCCTCCCTGGCAACTAGCATCGAGGTGGAATAGACCTCCAATCTGTAGAAATCTGTAGGCCCGACTTAGCAACAAAGCTCAAAAAAGGCTTCCTGTGATGATATCCTTGACCGGCCTATGCCTATATAAGGCGACCTATAATGCCTTGTAAACCCTCACTGCGTAACTACTGATATATTAATTCCCGTGATCCACGCACAGTCCTTGCTCTCTCTCTCTCTCTCTCTCTCTCTCTCTCTCTCTCTCTCTCTCTCTCTCTCTCTCTCTCTCTCTCGCTCTCGCTCTCTCTCGCTCTCTCTCTCTCTCTTTCTCTCTTTCTCTCTCTATATATATATATATTAGTTATCCGTAATAATGACGTGCACGTCTTTTTCAGCACATGGTTTGGCCGTCACGGACTAACGACCATTTTCCTTTCCACGTCCGCGCTAACAAGGTTTGCATCTTGTTTTCACTACTTGTGTGCATCTATTTTCTCAGCGTCGGCCCATTACTATGTGAAATACGCCTATATAACAGCAAGAAAACTAAGCAATATTAACTGAGTAATACTGTAGAACTAACATTGGATACATAAATATTTATAGGAGCAATTCTATAGAAACGCAAGTGATCTTTACCTAGAAAACTGTACGGTGTAAGAAAATTGAAACGGTGAAATATCAACAATATTATTACTATTACAACTATTTGCTTTGACTAACTAGATGCATCCAAATTACCTTTCAACAAACTATATCCAGATGAAGTTATAGCAATAACATACGGATGTTTCAAGGTTCGCAAACAGTCGGGGCTTTTTTACATCTACCCCTCTGTAACGCGACAACAATAATGTCGTTCATCTGTCCGCATTCTCCAAAACAGGTGGTACCTCGAGGTGAAAATCCGAGCTACCCCCACCATGCGTACGCTCCAAGTAACGAAAACAATAACCTGACCGGCGTCAACACAATCGAAGCTCTGAAGGAAGCTTATCGGGAAATGGTAATAATTAGATTTTCTGTAAAAGCAGCACAAGATACTCTGCTGATGTCACAGACATGTCGTATCAACAGAGGAAGATTTCTGACATATTTTTCAACTCAGAATGAGTTTTTTTTTTTTTTTTTAATTTTTCAGACAGCTGTGTCATCGTAAATTCGGCAACGATTCTTCTATTTCATTAAAAGCTCATGACAATGCATATGAGTTTTTATGTGGATTCCTCCAGTGTGTCACAAAAAGGAAGGGACCCTCAAAACTGACGAAAGATATATTTGTCTATGACGTAGTTTCTATATTCCTATAAGTAGCGTTTACTTTTAGGGCTGGATACCAATAAGGGATTGAATTATCAAAAAACTGCAGCTCTTAGTTGTACTCACTAATCTACAAGTCATTACTTAGTCGAAGGAATAGGACCTCCTGTATCCGGGAGATTTTGCTAAATTTCTCATTGTCTTGTCAGTTGAATCCGTCAGCACAATAACTAGCCTAGATAAGTTTCCAGTAACCAAGTAATGCTGTCTAAGTTTAAGGAACGGCGGATGAAGCATATAGTCTTTGTACTCTCCTGAATAACGACATTTACTCAAAAAAGGAAGGAAGAATTAAACTCAAAATAATTAGATAGCGTATCTGCTTGCACGGCAGCTAAGTTGACAATAAGCGTTGACGGGAACGACCCATTTATGTCCCATCGGAAAAATAGGATAGTGGTATATACATATAGTGAACGGCTTGAAGCCCGACCACGTTACGTGCGCTAGAGGTAGCTTGCGGATGCGGTTACATGACTAAGATGCCTCGATATTTATTTAAAACTGTCATTAAACGTAACACGGTTACGTAAAAATTTGCAGGTATATTCGCAAGAACGGTAAAGGATGGAGACAAAGATAGAAAATAATTTCAGCAGTATCTTATCTCATCGTCTTAAAGATTACATGTAAATAACCGCAAAGTCGAAGTATCTCAGGTATCGATTGTGTAATAAAGACAAAATATGTAAAATATAAAATTTATACATAAACGTGTGAGTAATCACGCGTATTACAAATGAAAACTAGATAGCAGCTACTCAGGATCATCTATACAAATTGTTACAGAAATTTACTGCTGCTCAGACCAGCGAAAGAGTAGATATGACATATAAATGTAAATATTCTTTATCTTTAAGGGTAGAGCAGCTTTGAATCGCATTGGAAGGACACGAAGAAACCAACTCTTGCATTTTGCAGTAATAATAATAGCTTACAATTTCAATGACGTATCGCCAGATCTTTTGTATGGTATTTTTATTTACTCCAACTTGAATTTTTCCGAAGTGAGATATGGTTCGTTTAAGAAGCGTCCAAAAAATTATATCGAGTGTTACTTACCAGAAGTGACTCGTATTATTTGTTGAAAGCGTTCTTTGCTGCTCTATCATTTCGTCAATGTAAGCAAGTGCAAAAAAAATACATCGTCTTACGAGATTCTATCCCGACCAGGGGTTAGTACGTGTTAATAGCACGTTCCCACCAGGAACGGCAATGGTATCTGAATTACGGAATGCTAAGTAAGGGTCATACGCTGCAGTTGCCATTAGAACGTCACGATCCTTCCATATTTGGACTAATCTTTGAAAGATTCAAAAACTAAAATAGACTTTTTGTGCCCTAATATTTTTAGTATTATTATATCGCTCTTTTGTGTGGTGTAACGCATAAGAAATATTTATTTGTCTGACAGCATAATTTCTTATAAGATAGTGCTGGTCTTAACATAGCATTCGGAATCTAAACACGTTTTCCCTTTTCAATACGAGTTTCCACAAGTTCTACGTAAAGTGCTAGAAGCCGCCAGTTTGTGTCCTAGTAAAGGTTTATGTAACTTATTTGAGCCTGCTCACATACTGCACTAATATTGCTTCTACAAACCGTTGATGAGTTACAGATCGGTACCGCATATTTGCGGTCATCCGCAATTTTTAGGGCTGGATTTTGCATACTGCTCTATGAACTTCAAGTGCATAAACTTTTCCTGTTACACAAGGTAATATTATTCTTAACCAACAAGTACGTCGATTGAGCGAGACTCGCATGTGGGCATATCAACTTCCAGGTTCAGAACGACGTTTGGTCTTATATGGCATTATACTTTTTAACGTTTTTCCCTGAACTTTATTCGGACTCTGAAACACAGTTATGGAAAGAGTGGTATGTACATATGCACCTACAATACTAGTAGCAATGTAGCAAGTCTAGCGAATCAGTCTAAAATTAGATTGCTTCGGAGGATCAAACGTGTAGAAAAATATCGCAAAATACAAAATTTGTCCCAGTAAAAGCAATGAATAAAAGCACGTTTCTAACAGCTCTCTCCTATTTCTCATTTACTCTGTCCCAGACAACAAAGTTCGCACCCTACTGCCTGATCCACGAAAAACGATTACGAAAGTTATTGAATAATCTAGATAACGCATTGCACTTTGGATTATTTCGATCGTCTCTAAATCAACCCGTTTGGAGCTATCACGAACATTGGTAACCTTCAGTTATTCTTTACTGGCTTTGATTTGAATAAAGGTACTGCAGCGCATTGTCGTTTCAGCGTAAGAAACTTCTATTTCCAATAGTCAGCTTCAGTTTCTCTAATGGGCAAGTTTACTACTGTTATTCAATCAGAAAACGGCACGGATGTGTACCAACGAGGATCAACTGAGGGCTCGCATCCACCATCTGGAGTTCCGATAGCCAACGACAAAACCATTTTAGTCAGCGTTACACACGGCTGATAGCAAGGTCGCTACCGAGATAGGCAGCTAAAAATATCAACACGGAAACGCGCACAATAAAGTAAATCTCTAATCAATATAACAGAACTTCGATCAAAAGGAAGCCAGGAAGAACAGTAAACTTGTAAAGGATAAAGGACATATCAAGGAGGAAAAATCTTTTCTGCAAATCATTTTAAGCAGGCTGCTATATTTCTAAAAGCGGTTTTTAAGTGATACACTTCTCTCTGGTCTATTTATATGGCATAACGTATCTAATCTATACAAATCTTTTTATCTAGCAAATTGTCGTTTTTGTCATTTGCTTTAATAAACGTGCCCCGCTAGTGGTTTTAATGAATCAAAAAGTAAGCCTTCGATTCGTTTATTGGTTCTCACTCACGGGTCAATAGTGTTGATAATTGACGGTCTAACTGGTGGGCACTGGTCTTGCTTCGACGAGTTCGATCTTGGTGGCGATGAGTCATCGTCTTCCGAACGCCTTTGTTGTTTCGGCAGCCAAGAAGAGGGATCCTGGCCCTGGAGCTGAAATTTGCCAATCGAATACATATTATTATATGGTTATAATATAACCATATAATATATATCCGATGTTCATATATAGTGACCTAACGTTTACTGTAAATAGTACGTTGGGTACTTACAGTAACTCAATAGTACGGTTAGAATCGTACGTCTCATATTAGTGTTGAGGATACAGGCACAAGTTAAACTTTCCGAGAATAAACAAACAGATACGTACAAATCTCCAAATGCATTATGCGAATCCTATTGATAGTTTTGTGTATTGTGGAGAAAGGCTACCTAGAAGATGCTTTGTAGCATCTCTTTTTAAAGGCCATCAAAAATATAAAGTGATCATTGGTAAATAGCAAGATTCAATACACTGATAACACTATGCGATAAAGAAGCGTACAGCAACCTGATAAGGAACTTCCAAAATTAAATATCGGTGGAATAAGGGGTAAAAAAAAAACGAGAAATTAGTTAACGAAAACGCGACTTAAGCAAATGAGAAATCAACGATGTCTAGACAATGCAATTCTTCTCATATCCAAAGAAGGAAAGCCATTCTGCTTAATACCTATGACGGGGGCCAAACGACTTGATTTTTATATCTTTTAATAGAATCATTTGACAAGCGAGTGCCCACATAATTTTTAGCTCTCTAACTAAGTGGCGGCCGACGGCGGTGCAAATCATCAATGCTTCTAAAAATAATGACTGTTTGGTATATGCTATCCGTAAAAGCGGAACTATGCCGTGCTGTCTCAACAGCAACAAAGTATACTATGTGTAACTGGTATGACTCAACCATTATTCGTTGTTTCTATTACCTAAAGAGAATTAACTGTATTATCAATGTGACCTTACTAACTTCAGCGTACCTCTCGATAAAGTCGTGTAAATTCTGGAGGATGTAGGCGGTCATCTCGCTCGCTAATTAGGGGAGACAAATAGGTCATAATCAGGTTCTAAAAAGGAAATCATTGTACCACACGAACGACAGAAAAGCTTTATAATCATCTTCCATTTCTACAGGGAAAAACATCAAAGATCATCGAAAATATCGCTGCACTTTGTGAACAATGATGCTTCCAAGTTACAGGACAAAACAGGAAGACATGAAAAAGTTGTAAGGCACGTCACGGCACGATTAAATGCCGTCGGAAAGTTGACACGTGGCATGAAGGGAGTGGGAAGTCAGGATCAAGAAGCTATGTCGAATCAGGAAGCTCCAGTCAATGGTTTTATCGTTCGAGACGACCTGTTTGCATCTTAGCTCAATATTGAGTGATTATATTACATATGTTAATAAAGCAAAACGGCAATAGCATTAGCGGATGCGAGGTATTTACCTCAACAATATATGAGACCGTGATTTGGCCGTATCCCAGTATTACAAGAAGTAGTCTTTCTGTCGGCTGCATAGGTAGATAGCCGAGATCTAATAAATAACCGGCCGTTTGAAGAGCTAGGTACGTGCACACCAAAGAAATTCCTATTAGATAGGCCACCAGATAATCTGCAAGAGACAATACAGAAAATAGGCAACATTTTTTTTATGGCCTATGACAGATATATTTTAATAGTTCATATTTTACAAATATATTTTAATAGCGTACCTCATAAAAATAGTGTTCATGAAAATTCAAAATAATTTTTAAAAAAATAAGCTTAGAAGGCATACGAGTTGACATTATCCTCAAATACACCCGAGATGTTTCGAATGCATTTTTCTAGTTCTAGATTAGTCAACGAAGTCGCTAACGGGGCTTTGTGTCGTTATACTCGGGGCATACTCAAGTTATACTCAAAACTTCGTGGCATTGCATAACCCCTGTAAGTACAATAGACGTTTCGGTCTTTTGGACATGCCACAAAAATTATCAGAATATATCAGGAAAACCAGATATCCCAACCAAAGGAAGTTCCGCGCTGATAGGAGCCTCCCATGAACTTCTTCTTTTGGCATTTCAGAGACAGGACTCTATACATCTGAAGTACTGCATCTTCTGGGTAATCATCTGTTTACGGTTCAAATATTAACTTGGCAACAAGTCGTAGTTAATTAGTTTCGTGTGCTAAAGTAGAGATGCTAATCATTCCAGTAGGCGTGAGTTCCACTATCTACCCGCCTTGCTTCCCGTAAGCTGTAAAGTACGCTTATTTAACGAAGGCTCCATACTGGAGACTCTGAGGTCACATTAATTCTATATTTTTTACAGCATTTTTACCTATACTTTCAAAAACCTATACCACACCAAGTTCTGTGAATGAACTGTATTTACGTGTATATATATGTGTTCGTAAACAACTGGGCAACGCAGGATAACGTCTAGTTGAACAGCGTAACTCACAGTTTGTGATCAGCGCTCGCCGATGGGGGGCACCAACGGAAAAGCCGACGGCGAGTGCGATGTATTGGAATACATTGACGACAAACACAATGTAGTGCTTTAATGCTTGAGGCCTCTCAGTTGGTTCCAGCTGATGAGACCTACCATACAGGAAACGATTGATATCAACTACTGGACTTAAGGACTTTTGACATGTTCTACAACATTTATCTGCTAGGCATGCACAAATTATTCTAGTATTGTCCTATCCAATAAATTCGAAAATATGTTTTTGTTCTTGGCCATTTAGTACCATTTGTCATTTGGAATATTATGTAATTTATTTTTTTGCCATTTTCTTCATTTAATATTTCTTGTATTTGTGTAAGTGCGTACAGCATGAACATTTTATTATAGTTATCTCAGACTAACCTTCATAGCACTTACGTTTGCATCACGCTCCCGTTGACGAGATTGCCTGTGCCATCCGTATGCTCACTAAAGTCAAACGTCAGTGGTAGGTAAGTTGTGTTGTGTGTTACAAGGATCTGTTAACAATTCGTTTATAATTACTTCACACGCAGTTAATTCGTTAGAGAAAGAAGATAGAAAACGAAGAATACCTTATAAACAAGATAATATGATCGGGATACGATATACAATGAATAGCATCATTGAATTCACTATGTCATAACCTAAATCTTGCTTTGAGGCTCTTACGTTTACAAAGCCGCTGCCGCAGCTGTGACACAAAACACTTATCAGACTTATCTATGCACACTCAACGATGTCCAATTCTGACACGAGGGCTGTTGTCTTTTGTAAAAGCCGCATACGCCGCGGCTGTACTTACTGGGTTGGTTTCGGTTGAGACACGTACCAATTACCGTCGTCGTCCCACAAAAAAAATACAAAGATAACCTGAGTCGAGACCGAAATCACAGTGTGGACTACGATTGATATCACGGACACGAGGCCGATCGCTGACTTTGCCGGAGGAGTTTTCGCTAGCGTAGCACTTGGATGAGTCAATCCAAAAAACGTCATCGTACCCATTGATAGGCAAATGTCGATGAAAACGAACTCCTACAGTTAAGACAAGAAGCGCATATGACACAGCTTATCCTGGCAACGTTCTATTTTCCATGCGGCAAAAATGTCTTCGCTGGAAAACGACGATGGTCATACGCTTTACTTTGTTTTTACTATAGTATCTTATTTTTTATGATATATCATCTTACTTTAACATAAGCTATTCAAAATTACTTTACTCCGAATTGAATCAAGAAGGGTGCAGTATACATATGGGGAACGCATGTTTACTGTTTGCCTCATATCCGCAGCTGATGCTGAACTACTTCAGCCCCTCAATACTATTCATCCTTTGCGTTTTCTGGCTCAAGAAGAAGGATTTTCCGACGCTTAGCGCCGATAGACTACAGATTAACAGCTATCGGCTACCAATGTGTCCTAACAAGAAAAAATTTTGAAGAAAAGCATACTAGGTCTGTAAACTGAACGCCAACTATTTCAACGATGACTATAGCCGTGCCTTGAAGAAAAGCGTAGCATGCCATAAATCTGAGCGTTGCACATGACGTTACAAGAGCGGCCCGACACTCACTGAAATACAGTCAATAGATAAGATGATTGTATTAATCTGTTACGACCGTACGATTTCTAGTATAACGTAAAAAATAATTAAGCGAAGCTTCATATAGGATCGTTGAAATATATGATAACCTCTCACAATGACTACCTCATAGCTAGCAGATATGCTTTTTCTGAGAGGAACTTGGGCCTTATCTGTGAAATAGACGTTCCTAAAATAGTTCTAATTATCAGGACTATTGTGCTTGCACTTCTGCCGATAGCTTCTATTGGTTCTGTTTCACATGGTTCCATTAGTAATTACTAAAATTTTGATCGTTCATTAGCCTGCGTCGATTTCTGACCAGCTTTTGACCAGAAGGGACTTTCGTCCATAGTAACTATCGGGAACCGTTCATTTCCAATAAGTACGTAATTTTTACTTGATTTGTATCATCTTGTTAGAGTCGTTAGGTCACGGGATCGATACACGGGGTTGAAAACTGATTCTTTGAAGGTTATTTTTCTATTCTCGATCAGTAGCACGGACCATTCGGCAGTTTGCGACCGATCACTAAAGCACATCGTTAATATGTGTAAATAGATCATGAAAATGTAGCGTGTGAGACATTCCTATTAGCACCTCTTTATATGTTTCTTATACCCTTAGAATCGTTGAACCGGCATATCTCCTCGACTCCTGCGACCGTTCTAGTTTTAGTATACGACGCTGCCGGAAGAAGTTGAATCGAAATGCCATCTCATAAAGCGATGTCCAATCATTGAAGTAAGATAAATTGATTTTTGTAAAGTAGAAGAAACATAGTCTGTCCGGTCAATGTACACACAAAAACAATATCGTCCTCAACAATACGTTGGATATTTGACGCTGCATTGTTCAAAGAAGGGGAATAGAGTCGACGTTCGTTCATTAAAACAAACCTAAATTAAACCTGACACACTTTCCAAAAAGGCTTTTCTTCGGCTTATTAGGATGAATAGATGTCGTAGATCTAGTGCAGCTTACACAATAAACCATAGGCTATAATATCGTAAAACGAGTAGTCCCAAAGAACGGTTTGTCTAATGAAAACTTCCAGCGGCAAATAAGTGAGAGTGTTACCCCGTCCAGTCGTTGTTTCTAATCTTAAGTTGCAGGAATCCTGTGATATCCTGCTTGTAGGTCTGCCCAGAATTAGTCTTTGTGCAGATCTTGCCTTATATATACACAAAATATTATCTACAGCGCATTCACTTGGGCGCTTTGTACTCCTCGTACCTCGCTCCCTCTGCGGAGTGACGCGGAACGATAGCGTAAGGCCCACAGCAACGGAGATAATCGTTTAACTGAATTCTTTTTTGAATCAATTTGAGATTACTCGAACGATCATATAGCTCAGATGGAAACTCACCTGATTAACTTGATAATGCAACTTATATCACTAGATGTAGACGTGAAGGGGGAATATATTGAAGCTTCGGAACCCAGGAGAGCAATCCCAATATTTGCGCCTTTTAGCGCGCCGCAGTCATTCAAGCCATCACCGCAAAATCCAACGCAATGGCCCACCGCCTACGGCACAGCCACAGATGAGAAACGTTTACACAAAGAAGTTGAACCTTCAACAAAAATAGACCTGTCTGGACGAAGTGTGTCACTGGCAAAGTAACTTTCGAATTTCCCATAGGTAAAAATACTGTTGAAAATAAAAAGCTAGCTTGCATAGTGCGATACTGAAAGCTTCCCATGCTCTAGGTAGATTATCAAGACGAGTTTTAGTTTTCAGTAGCGCAAGCCTCGTTCGATAATGCTTTATTTCTCGTAAATCCCATATGTTCCCATATTTAATATCCCATATTGGAATGTTGCATGTGATTTAATTAGGTACTCGTTTGATAATCATCATAAGCGAATGCTCAGACAAGCCAGCGAGAGCTGTTTGCATAAATTTGCATTTTGTAGCAGATACCATTGATCTCATATGATAATTTAGCAAATATATTAAATAGTTATGAAAAAAAGGTTATCACTTCGATAGTGCTGATAATATGTCTAATGGTGTGCTTCGTGAAGTTGAATTTTTGTATGATGCCTCCTTTAGAACTATTTTTACAAGTTTTAGGTATCCATAGGTTGTGCGGATTAATTTAGGTAGGCGGTTATAATGTGTGTGTGTTAAAATGTGTGTGGTAATGTAAGCCTGACAGCAGACGACATTTTGCATAGTGTCTCATAACTGCTTTGAACTACCTGGCAACATTTACTGCTTCACAATTGTAGTACCTATAGTTTCGAAAATCAACCATTTGTAACTCATGCTTAATGCGGTTTGTTCGAGTAGATTGCAAAGGTAGTTGTTAGTTAAATAACTATAATAATAACCTTTATTTATTATAGAGTAACAAAGTGTGGAAAAAGGATCTGCTCAAAAACTTACTTATCCAGTGAACACAGAGACGCAGTAGATTTGTCTAAATTACTTTTGGATTTCTCATATTCGGTCCCCTTAAATATCGTGCACGATTCTAAGCAATATTTGCATGAGATCGAAGCCTTGTACATCCGTTTATAAAGCAAATGCTGTAATTTCTTCGTATCATTCGATCGCCTAACTTATTATAATAATAAGTAACCTGATTGCCTAATTTAAAACGAACACGTAACGAAAATAGTAAAGGTAAACGACCTTTCCGTGTTTGAATCTCAACGACCCAAAATGGCCCAATCCACGGTAAACAAGGTGAAGCTAAGTTCGTCATGAAAGTTTGTAAGCATCGAAATGCAATGTGTCTTCACCTGCAACAAAGCGCCTAAGTATGTAAGTAAGTGTATGAACACTTTCGCGTACTAATACCTAGGATATTTACCATCATTTTGTGCGGATCCGTATTACGCTTTGCCTATCAATAATAATTCCTTTCATTTATAATAGATGTTTCTTTCTGCCTACGTCAAACGCGTCTAGAGGGGATTATTCAACCGCGATCCACAAAGCTTCCTTCTCGTTTTAAGCAACAGTGATGCTAACCTGCAGATCTTCAACAAAATGAGTCTTCGAATCAGGGGTCATACGGGCGAAGACGATTCCGCGGACGATCACTTTATGAAGAATCTTCGGGTAACGTCGACGTATTATGGCCAGTGCATTTCCGGTTGTCACGATTTGAAAGTTCCCGGTATACGAAATCCGTATTTCTTTGTCCTGCAAGGACCATTACATTCCTGAAAGGTTAGGCCTTCAAACGAAAATGGGACCGCCTCGAATAAACAAAGCGAATCGGTAAGTCAAAGAAGGAACTTCCGTAGACATGTATATCATACAGGGTGTCCCAAAAAAACTATATACACAGTTTGAATGAATGACTATAATCAATATGTACATCTTTTTGGTGTTTCTACTTATCATCTGGATCTATCGTTGCTCAGTAAATTTAATTCTGTTGATTAGTTGTGCTATTGCCTGAACACAGCTTCACTGCTCAAATAATCTTGTGCGTGTAAAAAAAATCCGGACTATATGCATTTATAACTTGTATTATTATTATGAAAATGTAACTTTTTCATATAAAATGTGTTCCATCACATTTTGCTTCATTTACTTCATTTGGTAATATCTTGAAGATTCTTTGGGGATGTTTTTCTACACCTTTCCAATACTCCGATTTGGCTGATGAAGCTTGTTGATATTCTTGGTCTTTCGGTACATTGCCTGTGAACGCCTGTGAAGTAGGATACTCAATCCATTTAGGATTAACCAATCCATCGATTAACTGGATTGTAATTCATTATAAGTCGCTGGTGGACACCCAACAATATTGCCTTTGTAAATGTTCTTTGTTCAAAGTTAATCTTAGTTCATCCAATACTATCAACAATTACGCCCTGAAAAAAACAAGTAGAATGTTATATATGTATAGATTTTTGGGACACCATGTATAAACAGTGGTAGTGATAATAGACACCTGTATAGTTTGTATGCAATGCCTACGCGGAGCGATGTCCAAAAAACACTGTTAGTGAGCATGAATGAACCGATAGTTAAAGTGCATTGACTATGGGAGTCATAGGATTAGTAAATGGTTTAGCAGACCTATTAGCCCAAATCATAACTATCGTCTCGAGTACTGAGCGGGTTTTACAATAGTGACCACCCATAGCGTGAAGGACACAAATAGAGAAGATTAGTTTCCAGGCATTAAACATGTCTGAAACCATTTTCGGACGAATTTGTGACTTACAACGGCTTCCACGTGATCTTGAATGTCGTAATACGCCCAGTAGATGTCTGTACCGCTGTCGTCTAACTCAATCCGGATAATAGGCTCGGTAGATTCGATCATGCCGCACTCACGAGCTACAGTTAAGGCCGTTAGTAAATTGTCACCCGTCACCATTATCGGCCGGATATTGGCTTCCTTTAGCTTTTTGAGCACCTAACAGTGACGTCCCAAAAATTTTACTGATAGAACAACCTTTGCTGCAGTCCTAGGCTGAGTCCGCAGATAGAAACGAACTTCATCAATACGATAATGACATATTCCTTTAAGTAAAGAAATTGGTCTAGACTGGTGGCCATCGCACGAAGGCTGATAACTATTTTCATCGAGTATTCCTCCCTCGACGAATAGTAGCAACATGCTAAGTAAGTAGTCAAAATGGCGTTCGGATCAAAGATCTATTTTAATTCTGTACCGTTTCATGACATCTGCTACCCAAGGGAATAATGAATATACTAAAAAAGCAACAGGACGTTATTTAGAATCGAGTAATTGTATCGTCTAGACAATGAATAAAGTCTAATCATGATTGTTAAGGGATAAACCAATAGCTTATCTTATACGTGGCTAGGCTTAATGGTGATGTATTTTAGTACGTTCAGCTTCCGTCTTTGGCCATGAAATAGGTGCAAATAAGGGGAACCCTGGTAGAGGTCGCAATATATAATGCCATTTTTTTTAACAATAACGGTCGACGAGACAGCATCGCGATCTCCACAGCTTAGGTAGATTTTTGCAGAGGTGAATGATGTTTTGTGCGACTTGATCGAGAAATTCAATACATGTAAGTTAAGTGCTCATCGATACGAGACTAAGTTCTACGCTATAGGCTGTAACCGTTAGACGCCATTTTCGAAAATGAGGTAATTTGCGTGCTTATACCAGGATGAGCATGCAAATAGTTACTTATCTTTGCTCCGTTTATGAAGATTCCTTAGACTGGAACAGTTCGTCGTACATCTAGCCCGCTATTTTCACAGATTAAGGTATGCTTATTTTATCAAGGTTTCCGGAAAGACCGAGCCTCTTTATTAAGACAAAAAAATAACCACGTACAGGTTTTGTTTGTCTCCTTAGTCGATTTTCCATTATTATGAACCCTAGCATAGTTAACTGCGATTCAATCTCCTGCCGCGAGAGGTTTTTCAACTAAAAGGAAAACAATTTGTAAAATACAGTTAAAATTGTTTGCGTCGTGAAACAGTGATGGCCAGAATAAAGTTATAAAGATCAAGCAGACAAAGGGTGCAATATAAATTGCAGTCAGCATATGTGGCTTTTCAATTCCATATTCAGGTGGGAAAAGACTTAATTTCACCGTAAAGCTGTTCGTGCTGATCGTAGCAGTGCAGACTGACATTTTGATTATTGATGTTTGATGGCAGCTCTTTGGTAGCGACGGCGATTACGCGATAGCCTTCCTTGGCGAAAATGGTGAGCTTCTTTTTAAAGTCTTTTGGAATGGATTCCTTTACACACAAATTGGCTAGAGTCTCAGGTGCTCCTTTAGCAAAGACAGTCAAATTGGTGCTGTTGTCTACTATCGTGAGTACAGACATTCGCTGGAACCAAAGAAAAGCTATTGTCTCCTGTCCTCGTGAATAACTAGCTTGTAAATAAAACCTATAAACATTCATCTAATAAAGTGCCGCGTTATACACACAATGCGATCTTTCTCATATGATGTCTAAACAGACCTAAGGATCTAGTAGGTAAAAGAACCACTCTGACTGGTTCTCCTATTTCACAAACCCTTCGTCTACCTACTGTGTGCCCCCTTATCCCCCCTAATGTATTGCATTCGAGGGTTTCATTGTGGTTTACAGAGAAATGAACGTGTCTCTAATACGTAGAATTTCAGCTAAATATACTTTTTAATATTAGCCTTGCAAACTATAGCTCTATCTATGGTGTGTTTAGTCAGTACGGACCGCTCCAGATCGTAGTTGTAGATTTTAAACGCTCGGTTTTAGAAAACTATAGTACCATCAAATGTGCATTAGATTTATTTTTGTAGATGTCCAAGCCCTGTTGCTTTCTTAACCACCTGTACATAGTGATTATATGCTTTATGTCGAAGTTCTGCGGTCAATGAGGTGCTATTACAGAGGATACACATTCTACTCTCTTTAAATGTTTATCGAGCGTCCTGTAGGACATGTGCAATACAAAGCTTTTTGTGAACGTTTATTTTATCAATATTCTTTTATGAATGTGCCTAGGGTTATAATATGAATGTGCCTAGGGTTATAATCAATTCAATGTTCTTTCAAATGCCGGTAAATAGCCATTTAAGCCGCTATACCTGCAGAGCAGAAGAAAATGGATAAACGTAAAGTATGCCAATCTCGAAAGGGCGGCTTCGCTGAATGAACGGGGGTCCTTTCTTTGTGTCGTCGGTTGCCCCGTGTTGGTTACTCGCTTCCTGGAACATTGGTCTTACTATGATCCGCTCATTTGCATAGTAACCATACGGACTATACAAATTGCAGTCGTCGAACACATAACGTGTTGCTTCAAATATTTTCACGTCCATCGGGTCGCCCAGTAGCTTATCGTAGGACCTCGTAAGAGCGTGACAGCTGGCCATGGCGACACGCATAGCATGGTCAAATGGAAGAGTCGATGGATCCTTTAATGTGATACTTTCCCTTAGTGCATTTAGAAAAACAACGATACTCTTCGTCAGTAGATATACCGTGAAGAAGAACATCAGTTAATTAGGATTTAGCACATAATGCTGTTCGAAAGGCTGGTAAAATTCGTTCATGTATGACTGTAAAAGCTACTACCTTCGTAACTAGCAATGTATTTAAACACAGGAAAACTAGTTCTTTTATATGAATTGTTGATTCGGTGTATACGCTAAAAATACATTTCAATATGGAGAAATTTATATATTTCAAATAACCTTTATCGGCTCCGGTCGATCGAAGGCGAAGACCCCCCAAAGGTTGAGGTCTGTTTCAGTTAGCGTTCCTGTCTTGTCAAAACAAAAACAGGTGATACAACCGCCGATTGTGATATGTTTCGGTGAAGTGCAGAATATTTGTGCCTCGGAGAGTCTCTGCTGGGCGGGAACGCGACCAGCTGTGCTTGCCCCGGTGGTAAACATAATAACAGCGTCAAAATGTATTAATCTATTATGTAACGTTATGATAACGAAAAGTCGATCAACCTACAAAGTAGCTTTTTCCTTAAATGGAGAAATTTTATATGACTTTTTGAGCTGGTCATGATAATCACTGCTTAATTTTAAAGCATGTTGCGTACATAATAGGCCGTAAGTTCCTAAAGTAAAACATCCACCATTGCGTCTACTAGGTAAATATGGAGGAAGTTACCAATACTCATGGCAGCCGGGAGACCTGGAGGCATTGCAAGGCTAATTATGTCGAACGAAGTTTTGAAGTCCAGTGCAAAGTAATTATTTTGGAACACTCGCTGTTTAGTCAGACCCCACCGTGGTAGCATGAGAGCACAGAGCAACCCAGAATCCATACGACGCAACATTTTTCAGTCAATATTTGAGGCACTCTAATTAAAAGCTACTATATATTTTAGTTATGTAGATACCTGTTTGACGACTAAGTAACAACACAACGGGCAACAGTACTCAGAGCAATCTATATCTTTCAATTATTTGGCATAAACTTAATTGAAACGTATTTGTCCATGATTCGTTGATTGATTAATGCGACCCCAATTACCCATCTGTTTGTCATAATTGCAATATTAACAGTAATGAGTTATATTATAATGCTAAAGCTCAAGTTGTCTGTCGTGTGGCTGAAAGAGCTTTTTTGAGCTGATCCTTTGTAGACCGGTACTTTAAAGTTTAACTTTAAAAAGCTTAAATACTAATTTCAGCGAACAGTTTCTTTTTCTTTTGGTACCTAACACTAGCTTAAGCAAGTTTCCGGTCCATTGCTGAACATATTTGAAAAGTTATTTGTTTTTAAAACAATAAAAACTAGGCACCAAATCAATTTTTTATGCTTTGGTCATATAGGAAGATTTTGCGAAGATCATCTTTTCGCTTTGTAACCATTTTCGCATTTGTAAATTGTATTGGTGTGGAAATCGGGGAATAGATTGAATGCAATGAACGTTACACGAGTTCTGCAACGGGAGCGTGAGAAGTGTCTGCGTCAGTGTTAGGGGTCCAGGACATACACTAAGGGCGCGTAAAAATTCAAAACCATAAAACCTAATACTAAATTGGGTAAGTAGACACACTCCTCTTTTCGGCAACTGATGAGAATTGTACATACTGATTAAAGTGCTTGTTTTTTCCGGTTTTATGAAATAGGTACAATATATAACATTTTGTCGTTCTGCTATACAAAGACGAAATTGTCTTTTGCTCGTAAGAGTTATTGAACACTGAAAAATGCAAGGGAACGAATAAGTTACGATTGTAAATTTAACATCATATTGGGATTATAAGTTTAGGTTAGTGATTTCTCGAGACAACAGGACACGTGCAGCAATATGGTAACAAATCTATCGTAATATGACAATTTCACGACTTATAGACCGAAAATAACGAGCTAGTTGCGATGCTCGGAGAGAGAAGAGGATAATTTTCAGATTGGACGAGGGTAATAGCATAATTGAAACAGGTTGATCTGGTAGGGTAACAACGATAAATAGAGCGGGAATACTAGAATGCGACAATCGTTGGCTTGAGCTACGTTTAGAGTGTGGATGTGACACTATTCAATTAGATTAATTAAAGCAGCGGCAAAACGGGCGCAGGCCGAAGTGCGAAGACCTATTGGTTCTGTGCATTGATATAGGAGTTGAAAAACGAATTAATCATAGTTGAAAGGAAAAAAGTGCAGTAACGAAATGTTTTTATATATGTATTATAAAGATAGCTGAAATGTATACTGAAAGTTTCACTAAGCAGTCGTGCGCAATATATCTCGCTAATTATCGAGAACAAGCATACAGCAAAATAACTACTACCAATCGTTATGATAAAATACCATGAATTATGAATACATTTAAATTGGGGTTCAATGAACAGGAAATTGGGCAGATTTCTGAGCTTGTATGGGTGACAGACATGCCATTGCATTAGATTGTCGGGAGACCCCAGATAGACCCAGTAAAATTCCTTACAACTCGACCTTTTCTAACCCCTACCCAGAGATTGGCCGATAGGTAGAGGTGAGAAACAGATAGAGGTGAGAAAAAAAAAATAGAGAAAAAAACAGAAAACTGAAAAGATTATTCGAAACAGCTGACTTATCTGTACAATAGATATAGATAAGTGCTTAATTTATGGAATTGTTTCCATTTTGACATGACATTGAATTATATTAGTACTTCTTTGCCTACCTTATAGGTCATTAGCCCTAAAAATGCGACTGCTGCAATTGGCAGGAGACATTTCAGTAGATTGTCAACATCTCGGGCGAGCTGGAAGTCGACAGGCTTAGGGTAAATCATTGCACCGAGAAGCTTGCCTTTTTCAGTCGAGAATCCTGTGCGAATCACCATTGCCTCGACGTTTCTGCTGCTCCTGCGTATTGGAAGGATTTTTATAAACGCATGCAATAATACATAATTATTCCGTGACAAACTTTTGCAAAAACACTTATACCGGTTGGTCCATATCTTTCCATATATATCCTAAAGAACTAGTTCCATAATATACTCAGGTGTCAAATAGGTCATTCCACCCTCGATCACCTACGTCTCACCTTTATCGCTAACCAGTGTCAGTTAACCGAAGACATGGTGCTTCAAGTTAATTCACTAACGTGTCTACGACAAAAGAATTATCGGCCACTCGTAGACAAATAAGTTCAAGCGCTGTAAGTGTGCATGCCCAAAGCTCCCTATATTCCCTTATCTTGTATTAAACTAGTCGGCCCTAAAGCGGCCAAACGAACAATCATATATACTATTTGTCTAAAGGAGAATATCTATCAGTGCGTATTTATTTGGGGCATTATATGTAGATGTCTTTGCGCAGAAAAACATGGACCAAAATACATACCTCGTCTGCATGATATCCGTTCCGCTTAATAGGGTACATCTGGAATGCCTCTCAGAATTGTAGAGTATGTTGCGGCCTATGCAAGCTTTGATAGATGTCTTCACCACTGGCACGCTTTCGCCTGTTAGGCCAGCCTCATTTACAACGCAGCTGTTAGAAAATACGTGGCGGTTAAGATAAAACTGTTCAAAGGCTTCTCTTCCTGAGCATGTCCGCATAACATGCCTGATTTACTACTTAAACGCGAGTAGAGGTTCATAGGCTAATTGTATTTTTCCAGCTATGTCTCCACCAAACTATCAAAAAACCATACAGTATATTTTTGAAACTGAAAAATATGACGTCGATTATCGCAGGTTTAGTTGACGCCCTTGTCTCTTTACTCGCACGTCCTGAGTTGAACCTGTGAGCCTTATACAGTGACACGTTTTTATGAATGATATGTATGCGTTCCAATACTTGGACTGGAGCTCATTGATAGTTTCTGTTAACAGTTTATTATAGTAAATTTCTAAATCCATATCAAGAAATCTGTCGGCTGGTAACAAATGGTCCAAGCCGAATATTGTAGTATGCGATCGATGACGTACGACTCGCAAATCCCAAACAAGTTAGATAAATGTTACCTGCCCTCGATGATAACAGCATCTGCAACCATCTGGCTCTCGTGACGAGGAATAATGATCACTTCACCAGGCACAAGTTCTTCGCTAGGTACTTTGTCGAGAAACACGCCTGAATCCTTCTGACGTTTAACTGCTACAAATACACGCTGATGCAGAGAAAAGTGCATTAACTAGCCGTCTGTTGTTCATTCTTTCGTGCTGTATAGACTCGTTGCTCGAACATTCTATCCAATCTATACATTTCGGTTTGGCTGATCCCAGTAGAATCAGTTAACATTGTCCTAAGTTAGCTTTTTCTTTGTTGTTGTTTCCAAAATAGACCGCTAAATGGACATGCGGTCAATTTGAAGGAGATACACATTGTGTAAGTCCATGTTAGCCGATTTCCTCCCTTTCAACAAATTTGTAGTGTACGTCAATGATAGAGTTTAATCAACGACCCCCTGGTTTACTCATTAACCAGGGGCCACTGGCTAACCATAGTAAATTACTGAAATGTTTAATACTAACGATCGTTATAAGTAAAAATAGATAGCATTAGAAAAAGCTGAAATTGATGAAGGTTATTTTCTACGAACCTCCTTCGGACCAGCCGATTTTGCTAATTGTAGTTGATTGCCGTGCACCTCCCTTATATCAGTGACGAGCGAAACTACCAGCAAAATAGCAATCGATAGCGGATAATAGAAATACTCTTCCGAGATGAACCTTCAAAGACAAAGTATCAAATATTAGATTACTGCACTTCTTAGTACACTTTAGGCTGGCCAAACGTACGTAACACGAAGATCCGGTTTGGAGACTAAGTCACCTGCGCTCGGTCCTGAGAACTCGTATCATCAGCGATCCCAGTAGTGACCAAATAGTTATGCCAATATTTACTACTTCCTTAAAACAGATGATGCGAGCTCGTTCAATCCAGGTCCAGTCGGCTATAGAAAGAGCAGGCATTAGACGGGGCTTTCTGAGACTATTTTCTCGTTCAGCTGCCATATAGTATTTGCTACCCGACACATTATGACCATAGTTATATATGACGTAGTTGAAACGCTTACTTGATGCGGTTGGAAACTTATCTTTAACTAGAAAATACTTTAAAGTAGCCAAATGCGCGCCGTGAATAATAATATCACAATTCGTAGGTAAACGCGCTCCAGATCTGTACATGAGAGGTTGCTGTAAGCCAAAAAATCGCGGTTCGCCAATAGCAGCTACGTTATTCGAAGCACAAACAACGAAATGAAAACAACGAATTATTTGGCGTTCAAAGAAAAACACCAAATTGATTCCTAAAAGTGTGTTGGTGTCGTCAGATGCACAGTGGCATCGTTCTAACCAGTTTGTGTAGAAAAGTCTATATTTGACACACAAACGGTTCCGTGTAGATTAAAAAAAATTGAGATCCCGATTAATCATGGAAAGCGCATGTTCGGAACTATCTGTTCACCTCGTTATAGGATTTACGTACTCTTCCAGCGTTTTTTCATCTTACCAGTAAAAGATGGCGAGCACCTGAAGAAAGTACACGTATTCCAAAATCTCTGTTCGGAAAATCGCTGTTTTGGTCCTGGCCTCGACATGTAAAACATTATTGCCAAACAGAACACGGCGTCTGACTGCCTCTTTTGTTGTCAGAGGCTGAAATGGATGAGCATAAACGATTTATACAATGAGCATCTTTTGCTTAAGTATGGCGAAACACATGACTTTTTCATAAATAGCATTGAATAACTTATCTCCACAAAAATAAAAACACATTGTGTCTAAGCAATATTCCTTTCGGCAGCAAAATTGGCTACCTGACAGCGTTGAAAGTATGAGCATTCAATGTTGTGGTCGAGTCCGTGAAGTGGCCTAAATCTGCAATAAACAATTGAAATGTACGCTAATACTCTAGAATTAAATAAATTGAACTTCCTGGAAAATTATCGTCAGGGCCGTGCTAGGTAAAACCAAAAAACTGATTCGATTACTAAATAGAAATATCTCTTTAGACTGTGCTTCTCCACCCTGAACAAAAGTACTCATTTTGTACATAAACGGCTTTCTTGGTTCGATAAAAGGTGGATAATCCTTATTATGCCTCTGAGGGTATACTGGCACTGGTAGAACAAGCGCCTTATCGTGCCTATTCTAAAAAAAAATATGATAAAACGATCGCTGTAGTGTAGGGAAAATATTGTCCGAGTTTTTTCAAGTATGGGAAATGATCCTTTGTTTATCCTAAATTGCAATCGATTTTGAGAGGGACCAACAGAAACAATAGGGAAAATAAATATTGACGATCAAAGCAAATGGCTATATATCTATTATATTTTTTTATTTATTTATATGTATATATATATATATATATATATTATGATTTATATTAAACAACTGCAAGAGTAACCTGAATAACTTGTGTCTAAAACTGTAGTGTTCATTATTTCTCGATATTTAACTCAGCAAGGAAGATTAGAAAGGTGTATGTTCCACCGTGAGACTCGACCCGGCCACCTTCGGTTTCGTAAACTAACATCCAGTCGCCGAAAGCACGCCATGACGTGCGACTTCACCTGTCTGTACGTTTGCCGTTTTGACAGTTACGTAAGCTTAGGATCTTTGTGACAGTGAAAAACATGGTACTTAATCGGTTTCAAGGTGTCTTCTGAATGGACCATTTTAATAGTCACTTATACAAAGCTTATAAAAAAAAAAGAACAACCCAGTCAATAATATTGTATATTAATTACTAAGTAATGTAATCAGCATCTACTTTCTAATGATTACCACAAGTGAGATAAGCAATGATATCCTTTATGAAAAGACAGTGCTTCCGCCCGAATTGGCGCGTGATTTCAACATTCATTGATGAAAATCCATAAAACTCCGAGTTCTATCATCTCAATATACCAGAATTTAATAACTTCACCTACACAAATTCGTCGCTCTTTGTGGTTATACTTACCGCTGTAAATCTGTATTCCACACGTATCTAATCTTCTTATTGATGAAATAGCGAAGTTCTTTAACGGGTCGTAGCACACCCTGTATTCCATTAAACAAATGCACATCAATACAAATACTTTATAAATAGAAACAAATGCTAAGCTGAAACGCTGGACCACTGGTCCTGACTAGCTTTTTTTGCAGGTCACGTAAAAAAAATTTGACTTTTAAATTCTACATTTTTTTCAATCATCTTTTTGATCGGAGAATGTCAAAGTTTTCTGCAAAATGATTTAGGGCTTAGAAGCTGCACAAACGAGAGAGTCTTTTCACTGAATGCATCGTCGATCTTATGGTAAGAACTTTTTTGTAGAGGCTAAATATTTAACTTATGTATCGCACACATTTTGTCTAAAAATGTGTGTTACACTAATGTAAACCTTAGATAGGAAAAGATGTTGTAATTCTTGCAATTAATATATCTTCCGTCTTTTACGCAAACTGACTTTAACTGGGCAAACCATTTACACTTACTTTTTATGCAGTGCTTTTATGATATGCCAACGGTTGCCCTATTTTTCTTTTTGATCTTTGTGTTGTTTTATAATCTTTTATCGCAAAATTTCTGTCTACGTATCTCAATAGTTATCGTATTTTTCCTGTTATAGTCTTCCAATAGTTCTGCTACTTCTCAAAAAAAAGTTAAGCTCTCACATATAGAAACAAAAAACTTAACAGGTTCATTAGTTTTTCGAAACGGAAAAACAGAGGTGGCTATAGTTCTCTTCAGGGCGTTTTAGGCAAAGCCGCTGTACCTACCTTGGGTTCCAAAATTGTGAGATGTGTAATTCGACCCACTTCACGCTTGAGCGCTCTCCTGCTCTTAGCCGATCGTCTGAAGTACCTCCTTATTCTACAGAAAAACATTTAGTCTCTAAATATGCTAGCAATTTAATGATTACATTGCCTCTTAGACTTAAACATTTACCGTTTTAGGGTAGTTAAATTGATATAATATGAATTTTTGAATAACAAAGCACAGTCCGAGTATTAAGTTCTTTGGTTTTCTCTAAAACTCAATTCAAAGCATTCATGATGTTTGTAGAGTAAATTACTGTATTCGTACCTAATAGTAGTAAAGACTCAACGGGTAAGTAATATATACACGGAGTAAACGCCATTACTGCGTTAATTAGGTGGACAAAAAACTATATATATATATATTAGTTTATTATTATATAGAAATTGATTAAGACCGAACCACTTCCTTGGCTCGCTGATATCATACGCCCATTTGACAGATCAATCCTGCATACACAAAAATTCTGATTGCCTATTAGTTTATAAGATGTCAAGGCGACCTCAAACGCCCTGTTCTTTACGAGAAAGAACAACGTCGAACCAAAGCAAACGATTGCTTCTGTATTATCTCCGTCATCCTGTAGACGTTAATGATAGGGATCTAAAAGTGATATACTTAATTTAAAATGAAGGGCGACAATAAATATTCTGAGCTGAAAATCCAAATTTATGCATTTGTCTTGCGTCAAGTGAACTGAACAAAGGAAGATTTCAAAAGGAAGTTCTAAGCGGCGTGAATGATTCGGCGGGTTGGCGGGGGGGGGGGGGGGGGGGGGCGCGAAATATAAAAAGCTCTGTTAAATGTGGACGTCGGTGCGCGGAATGAATGTGCAGAGTTAACGTAGCAACTAAAGCATTATTATATATATACCGTAGCTCCGAAGCGTTGCTAAATAATGGGCGCGAATATATGTAAAGTTTTAATTAACCTTACCTAATATTTTTAAGAGTAGCCACTTTGACGCGTTCGATGAAAAGCTGGTCGAACCTATCAATAATCACAACGGAAGTGGCCCGTGATAAACTGCAGCGTCTGTGTGTACATTGTAGATATCTGTATGGCTCCCAATGAAATACGAGACGGAGCAGACCCAGTGTGAAAACTATCGCTATATTCGTCCAGGCGGTCTTTCGCCGATCTTGTTGGTACCCGATACAGAACTAGAAGGATACACAAAACCAAGCCTAAGAACAACTACGAAACGTAGATGTGGGCTTTCATCATCATACGCTAACGAACAGTGTCTTTTCAGATAAATACACAGAAACTGCCACTTGCAATTATAACATTAGAGTACTAAATTATCTTTTGATCCTTCGAAGCACTAAGATGAAGCATATTATCTAACGCTGAAAATTCAAGATTTCTTCTAATTGTTGGCTTTCGTTTATAGACGCCGTTTCCAGACGACGTCTTTGGGTTTTTGATTTAATCTGACATTGATCTTTTTCAGTGTCCCCAATTGAATAACCGATTTTAGCAGTTGTGCCTTATCTGTCCAAAAGGACAAATCGGCACGAACTATAAGATCTAATTCCTTTTTCGGGAGTCGGTAAGACTAAATTAATAACAAAAGTCGAGCTATTCTCAACAAATGATCATATTTGTGTCTACATATATAGGTAAGCCAAGGTATTAAAGCCGATGGCATGTAATTAACTTATTCTGCTGATTCACTACCCAGACATGAAGAGACGAGTTTCCCGTCGCGTTCGCGGCCTAGGCCGTCATCAAACGTGGCATCGGTACTTAACATTTACAATAGCGATATACTCGTGTATATGCAATCTGTACATATAAACCACACGGGTGAATAAACTGTTTACGTTTTAAACGGGGCTTCGTAAACCTGAACGGACAATCAACCGCTACGTGTCAGCTAAGCGTACACCAAATTCGTTGAGAAAGGCGCAAAGATAACGTGGTCGATTACATATTTTGAGGGACTGGGTTCGACACCATGTGTTAGATTATTTCTTTGGTAATAAATTAGACAGTTCTTTCATTGTTGGCTTTTCCTTAACACATTTAACCTAGGTATATACCTTCACAAGTAGGAACAAAATATCTTAAGATTTAGTTGATATTTAACTAAAAACATCAATGCGTTACAATAATTTGGCTTATGACGTCTATATTTCGCATGCGAAGAAATTCAATGTTTACAACGAATTTAGTCGTTGAACCACTTACGAACTCACTGCATTGAGCATCCAATATTTTTTGGAGGACTGGAGCATCTGTAACGGAAAACAGGACCAACTATTACTTATATTTGTAAATGTATAGATTCGCTGTTTAAGGTAGCACGGTCATAAGGTGGATAATAAAGGGCTATTTTTAGGGTCCCATATTAAGCGTTTCCTGCTCTGAGGACGACCTTGTTTTCTGTAATTGGAGGCAATGTTCAGGAAGGACAAGTAGCCATCGTTTAATATTGCAAGATACGTCTGACAAAATACTGGAGGACCTACCAAAGCGTTTGTCCTTAGGATTGGCCTTAGTGGACGAGTTTGAAGCGTTAGTTCCAATGCTTGAAGAGCTACTGTCTTGATCCTTTCCTGAGTCGTTCTTTCGACAACTTACCTGGTTTCTTTTCATACCTCTTGCTAGTCTATTGTATCTAGTATTGCTGCTGCTACTCTGAGCGTGGCCGCTACCTTGGACACTACTTGAACAGCTTCGCGTGTTATTTTTTTTATTTGCGCACTCACTAAACTTTGCCGCATCCGTCACTGAGTTACACTTCGTATCCTTTTCACTGAAAAATAAATGTTATTGTTATATGCTTTTTCGAAAAATATCATTGACTCCAGCCAACAGATCTTTAGACTTCGCGCATTAGTCCTGAAGATCCTAGAGCTGAAATGCAATGAACAAACAAGGGCATCAACAGCAATTGTTGCACTAACATGTGTATTTTACGAATCTCGGTCCTTCCTTGTCATAACAGTGCACATCTCTGGGTGTAGATTATTATTTTTACACACAATTTTTGGCAGTCATATTACCTGAGAATATTTTGTGTGACAACAGTTTTGGGTTATATAATTTCAAGTATTGAGTATCGTTCAAACAGATCTCAATTACTTGCGACCGCAGATTCTGTGTAACGACTTCAGCTAAGATAAATCAGGACCACGATTATCTTTTACCCATTGGAAACCTTCAAACGATTTCTAAGGTTCTACTTTAACTCTAAAGTTGTGAATAAGAGCGTCGTATATTAGCAACGGGGTGAAAATGAGACACCACAAAATTTTTCTAAAATATTTCTTGGTACATGGATTGTACGAATTTTACTTCCGGTAAAGCATAGCAGGAAAGATGTAATGATTCCAATATAAAGAAATTTAAAAAGAAGTGCTTGTTAAATTTCTGTAATTGTATAATGCATACTGTAAGGTATTCTGATATTGGTAGTAGTCATTATTGTATCTGGCTGCATTTAGACACGTAATAACATTGTTGTCTTAAAATAATTTCTTATTAAAAAATCGTATTGAGGGGCCTCTGTTATAAATATGCAGCAGAGTTAAATTCACTCTAACAATACGTTATAATGATTCGCGCCTTTACTTTGTTACATTAAAAGATGTGTGATGAAGATCCTGCAAAAAAAATTCCAATAATAAGTCAATATAAACTTTTGTTGGTGATGTAAATACAAATCTAAACCAGATTTTGACGTGATAAAGTTTTCGTTTGACACATAGTTAAAGCTCATACATTCTGCGAACATTTTGTCAACGCCAAGGCCAAAAATAAATTACAATATTCCTGTTCCAATGTTACCTAGCACTTACTGACATTTAAGATCCGACTGAGATTTTAATTACTTTTAAAATCTTCCAGATACCTTTACAGTAGAAAAATGTTAACAGACTTTGGTGGTTGACAACGATGACAATATGGGTTCATATTCTCCTACAGATCCAAGTTGAAATAGAACTAGTAGTAATAATAGACCTAGATTAAAATAGTGTCTGATTCATTCGTCTTCATTACGCTATAAAGTACATTGAATTGGATTCATTAAGCCAAAACGAGAGCTCTGCTCTTGTTATCCGAACTTCTTTCAATGTGGCCAGATTTCGATCACCCGATTAGACGAAGCCCGACGGCTTTCATTTTTCGTTTTAAAAGTCATTAGAGGGAAATCGATGATATAATCACGATAAAAAAATTATGTGAAAAGATCGCAAATAGTTTGTTGGCAATATTACACGATTTCATTTAAGTGCGTAGGGGATTATTTGGCCTAGTTAAGCAAACAACAAGATAGTAAACGTCATAGATTCAATTTGTACCTTTACCCATACTGTAATCAATTTTAGATCAAAATGCAACTAATAACAGGAATAATTATTGATAAATACAAAAACGACCATTGCTGACAATTCGTATTTAAACAGCAGTAAATGAGGAAAAAAATGCGAAACGTACTTTTGTGTGTCCTAGACGAAGTAAGTATCGTGACTAATTATGATCACTAAATCTATAAATACAAAAGAGGAAGATTTTTGGTTTATCTTCTTACCTGGTTGGGTCGTTTGCAAGGCTGAGCATCTCGATATCCTATTCCTGGGCTATTCAAGCAAAGATTTTCGTTGATTTTCAGAACCACCACTCTGCGGTTTGGCGATTATCAAAATTTCGTATAGCCAAGCCACCTCCGAGTAGATGCTTCAACTAGCACAAACCCATATGAATAAACAGTTAGAAGCGGAGTATTTGGTTACTAAATTTAGAGTTTAAAAAAGAAAAACTTTTTTAAGCATAAAATCTTCATTGAGTGTGATGCTCGTATGTGAGGGCGCACGTAACTTTTTTAAATCGGATTTCAAATAGCTTTTTAGTCTACCTGGTTTCCACCAGGTGATAGCGTAGTAATGCGTTTGCCTACTGAATTTAAGGACACGCGATGCTCTATGTTCAAACTCGGACGCGGACGCGCTTTGTCTCGTACTGTTTGAAGTAATACCTAACGATCGAAGCAGTAGAAGTAAAACACAAGAAACATCCCCCAGGAGAAACTGCTTTAAAAGCAGGATGAGACATATTGGTGTCAATGTCTTTGAGCCCGTGAATATTCGATTTTGTGATCACAAACTCTACAGCTCACTAAATCTCAATGACGAAACGAACTGTTTTGCCTTATGTAAATTATATAGTTGGAAAACAGGAAATATCTATCTAAATATCAGACTATCTAAGTACAGATATTGGAACGATGCTTTTTACATGGGATATAAATCCCATTTTTGATGGTTTAGTCAACTTAACCATTATTCATCGTAATTACAGTTACAATTTGGAATTTATACCCCTCACTAGTCATTCTGAAAACACCCTTTCTCCAGTTAGTAAGTTAATTCCAATATAGTAACCGTGCGTCAAGAAGTGGCGCTTAGATACGCTACGTGCAAAAACAATTCCGCTTTTGACTAACAACAGGCCGAAAGTACCGTACCTAAGAAGGCTCACTACGGCCAAAACGTCTTAAAAAGCTAACTGTTGGAACTGATGCGAATAACCCAATTTCTCTCTTCAAAAAGTTGTATAGTAGTATGATAAAAAAAAATGTAGGTGTATTTTAGGTATATCCAAAATGGCATTTATTCGACACATTTTGCGCCTCTTCGATTTAAAACCTTCTAAGGATCTTCCGGTTCAACTGTTGGAAGTCTATTTCGGGTTTTTCAGAAACTGCTTAAAACTGCCAATTTCAGGTAAAAATAAAGTTTTTGATCTTGGTGGTGGTTCGTTTAGTGCGTAGAGGCTGGGATAGCTCACTTTCGTGCTCCCGTTACAACAAAGAGCCCAGTTCGTACCAATTTAGGTCCCGTACTCCATATTCGGTTTAGACAAACATTTAATTAGAGTCTCAAAAATTGTTTTTTTTTTTCATTGCGCAGATTCCATGCTTACGAAAAATTCATACGGCGCTGGGGCCTTTAAAACCATAGCCGAGATGATTAATATCCCTGTATAATATTGACTTTCAAGCTTTCTCACAACGAACAGTTTACTTGACGTAACAACAAGCTGGCTTATCGAATAGAACCTTAACTTCACAACTCGGATGCGAACATCCTAAATATTACACACGTCCAACACTGTCGTTAAGCACTGCTTCGGACGGCTCGCTCCTGTCCGTTTTCGGAAACAGACTATCTCATTTTAGGGTAACATGTCATTGCAAATTATAGATTCCTAGGGTACATTGCTATTACTCTGTTAGGCTGTTGTGCGAGTTTAAACCTGATCGATTGGTAAATTGAGAATCATACATTAAGTCTATATGAACGAACTTACCAATAGTGAAATTCGATAACAAGATACTCAATCTTAGATAATAACTCTACATTCATTTAAATACAAGATCGTCTGCACGGAGTTGACATCATTGTTATTTTTTCTAGGATAACGTTTTGCTATTGGAAAACTCTTGGCTAAAAATATCAGTTAGTACACGAGGTGTCATCAGTGATCGAGGATGGAATCACGTGGTAAGGATGTGCGGTGTTGCTCAGAAGTCCCATCTGGAATTATATGGTAGAGATCAAGCTAAAATCATATGCAGTGTTTGGGTCCACCTATTTATCATCATGAAAAATATCTGTAGAGAACTAGTAAAAACTATGAATTTTATATCGACAAATAGATAATAATAGCAATAATTAACGAATTGGCCTTTATTGAAACACGGTGTTAATAGTGAGAGAGCTCCTATTTAGTACATTCACGTTTTTTAATTGGAATTAGAAAAGTGCACTAAATACATCCAAACGTTGTTCTGCTCGTTAGCTTTTATCTTGGTACCTAGCCAAAGACAACCCTGAATCTAATAGCGATTGCTTTTTGACAGGGCAACTATGAAGGACCTCGGTTTGACAATGATTGTAAGTTTCTCTAAATCCCTGCACGTCTTAGATCAAAGACTTTTCGAGTTTATTGGAGTTTCTTCATTGAATAAGAAAACTTATATAAGAAAAGAAGATAATATTTTATCTATGTAACTCTCGCCAATTTAGTCTGAAAGCGTTTTCTAAATTTTTCATGGCTAAATACCCGTCGCTTACTCTATAAGGCTCGATAGGGTTCAGATCCCTCGGCCTACAAACTAATAAAATACTTTCTCTTGGCTACTTGTACCCAACTAACACTCAGTCATATAACGTGACTTGAATTGAGCGCGACAGATATTAACGGAAGCTTATTTGTCGTAGCTTTTAATATGGACGTTAGAGATGTTTGTGACCTTAAATCATACTATTTGCAGAAACAACGCTACTAACAAATCTATCCTGTATTCAATATTTGGCATTCGGTCTGGCAAGAGATTGCGAAAAACGTTTATATGTATAATGGAAATGAGGATCACAAATCATGTTTTGGTCGTGCGAGCCACGTGTGGATTGGATCCTACAGAACAAATAATTATTTCAATGAATAGAAAAAACATTCATTAGTTTTTTCTAGTTACTCCAAGTTCATATAAGACAATGGTGTGTTTTATATCACAACTTCCGTGATAAGCACAATGCATCCCTACATACCAGCTATGCTTCCAAATTCCTTTATTTAAGTATATCATATATTATTTTCTAAAGCATTCTCTGTGTAAAGGATAAAAGATAGAAAATAATGGCGGGACCAGTGTTTTCACATCGACGTGCTTATGACAAGTCTGTGTAATCAACCATGTGTAATTATTTCATAAGTCTACAAAGCAATCCTTGCTAACAGTGTTCGAATCTCATAATATCCTCAACTGAAGTTAGAGTTCTGAAGTCTGACAACTGCTTTTAGGTTCAATTTGGAACGTTTAATATAAAGCTTCCAGAGCCCTAAAACCTGAGTGCAGTGTAAAAACAGAGAGTGTAAAAACAGCAGCAGTTGCATTGTTTCTAGATAACGTTAGCCGACTCAAGCGACAAATCTACGTCCACTACTTGAGGAGCCAGTGGGGTCGTTTGTGTTGAGCATTTTTCTGATCTCGCATCACGAAGGTTCTCCAAGCGCTAGAAGAACCCTTAGTGGATTGATAATAACGTAAAATGTCTAGGAACAGTAGCTGTTATTGATGTTGAATGAGTGTATGGTGTTTAACGAGAATCAGTGCTATATTGTCGAGTGAGTATATGTCGTACGCGGAGAGTCGGACTGAATGTAAAATATAATTATTGTTAACTCTGAGCGAACGTATGGAGCTTAAGGAGAGCGCTTAATACCGATGCCGAACGAATGTACAACATTGAAAAGGAGTGGTTCTATTTTATATCATTGATATCGATACGGTATGGGTATACGACTGTTACGAAAAACAGTTATGGTATAGAGCAAAGAAGAAGCGTCGTATGGCAACTGTAACAAAAAACGCTTCGTTGTATGTGCAATGAAGAGCGGGCAGCCAAACAAAGATTTTCGAAAATGTTAGGTTCATCTTTATGTTTTCCGTTTAAGCACTAAACAGGTGTGAGAAGGCTGGTTCGTTAGCGTGTTGTACCAGCAGCAGCATCCTGTCTATAATTATTTTATTTAGCGTTAAGCAACTGAAACCCCCAAAACTGTGTGTCTCTATACCACCTATCCCCCCCCCCCCCCCCCCCCAACACATATCAGGTATGTTGATTTCAAAACGGAATCCAGCCGTTGTTCGGAGAAATTTCTCTACCGGAAGGTATTACGTCGATTAAATTCAGCACATTCAACAAGTTGCAAGCTACTGACGCTGCAGCGGCTCACGAGCCGACTCTGTGTCCTGTAGCTGGCCAGCTTATTTTTGGTAGTACTCATTTTTATTCACACTGATTTTTCAAAGGCAATTCTTCCCTTTATTCGAACATTATGAAGCACGGTTTCCTTCCTGTTTACGCTGTAACAAGGTTTCGGTTGTATGGCTACTGTTCGTCGGTCAGTGTCTTTCTGCAAATAGGTAATGTAAAGCATAGAAGAACCAGTTGAGCCGGCGCCAACCCATCGGAAGCAGTCGCCCCACAGGGTCGCCAGTGATCTCCGGGCTGCTGACCTGTTTTGTTGCTTAACGATGTTATAGACAAAGCTGTATGTCTCCACAGAGGTATTTTGGTTTTATGAATAAACTTTGTGTCTCAAGTGTTCAAACAGCAGCGCACTTAAGCATGAAACAACTTCGATTGCTAGAACCTATGCTAACCCTTCAACAGACAAATCGGATTTGTTAAAGTAGAAAATCCTGTCTTTAGATTCGTAAATATGTTGGAAACTAATAAATGCGCTCAATTTCAAGAAACAAAATATTGCTTGCACAGATATATATTTTTTTAAATTTTCCAGTTGGCCGAGTGTCGACCGACTTCATACGACTGGGACACCAGCAAATGGCTTATGCTCCTTGGCTTTCACCTCATGGGACTATAGAAATAATACATTTATTAGGTTTAAAAAAATTCCCAAGCTTTTTCTTGAAGTAACTATTTTTCCCATTCAATATGCTGCTGCTCTGTTAGCTTGCCATAAACGATATTGTGTTGTGATTGTGTGCAATTTAAATTCAGAAGAAGAAAGATTGACTCAAGTAAATTCAGTGAAAAAGAAGAAGAAATCATGCATAGCAGAAAAGAAAGTAATTTATGTAAGATCATTACCTCCTGTGAAGAACTGATCTTTTACGAGACGCTTAAAAGCAAACCAGAATAGTTAGACTTCTCCAATTCGACGCCGTGAAAATATATTCATGGTATAGTGGCGCACCTACGCATATTGTTGAATAAGAAGGGAGTATTACACTATAAGCTACACAAAACCCAGTAGAGAGAGAATACCGTTACGCAAATCAACTCATTCGTCTGGGCCACGGAATCGACAGAAAAGTCCTAACGTGGCAAAGGACGACGCGAAATGCTATTGGTGCATGACACCGCTACGTCGCATACTTCTTTGATGACCCAATGAGCGCTAACGGGCTTCCAGTAGGAAACTTTGCCCTACCCGTCGTACAGCCCAGATGTTACCCCGTCCGATTATCGTATGTTTTGGACGATGCAGCGTAGCCAGAAACGCAGGCACTTCAAAACAAAAACAATGGTCTGCGAAGACGATAGTCCGCAAACATGAGTGAATCGTTTTTATGGACGAAGACCTTTCCTTCGCGGGACACATCAGCTGCCAGAGGGATGGATGAAAATCGTAGGAAACAAAATATACTACTTTGACAAACATATACTTACTTGTTCGAAAGTTATAACAAATTGCAACGACTAAAGAACAAGAACGTTCTTATCAACTTCTTAATACTCGCGGATAACGCCTGTCGTGCATATGATCCAGTTATAAGCCTTCTAATAAAACATCTATTTTTCTTAAGACAACTTCGTTAAATTTCAGCAAAAAAATAACTTCAATAAACAAATTCACAATGGTGAATAACTAGTTAGACTTTACATTTGCTGGAAGAGCTGAGTAGAACGTCTAAAATGGCCATATAATTTAGATGTTTTATCATCGAAAGTTTTTACGAAAAAGATCCTATCGCTGATCAGAACAAAGCTTCTTCATGATAATAATATAGTATGATGTATCCAACAGCAAATACCTACAGACCAATTAACCAATTTCATTTGATGACCATGCGATGTCTTCTTGAAATGATTAGGGAATCGTGTACTGAACGTACAATTAATAGACGATTCCATCACCGTAGGATTGTTTTTGAGGGGCGTATGATGAGTGCGCAGCGTTGAGCAACATTAGGAATTTTCTACACTACTACATTTTCCATGCCTGGCATTGAATGCACAATTCAGATTTACTGTTTAATACTTGGTATATGTTGTCACTCGGTTCGACATGTTTTCGTCGCATACTCCAATGACGGATTTCTCTTGGACTAACGTTTGATTTCCGCTAAATAAAGGACTATGTCTGGAGGAAGGCTAGAGAAATACTGGTTGATCCCCGAGGTTTCTGAACCTGTAACAGGATATGATGCACTAAAATAGGCACCTGCGGAACGCCAAAGACACGATTTTATAGCTTTTTTTTTATGTTTTATGTATGTATTATGTGTGTATGTATATTTTTTATGTTATGTATTAAACGATTTAATTGTATTTTTGTTCAAACAATATCCGACAAAAACGAGAAGTTATATACAGTTTCGTAGTACGTCTGACGAGTTTACTTTTATTTTTCAAATACATTTTTTTGGTTGAGACCATAGCGGATCTCACCTCAGTTCAGCTCTGTATTTCTATCAAAGGAATGGTGTAATTTCTCAAGTAACTTATATTTTACACAATCAATTTAAGCTAAACAAGAAAGGTTGACTTCGACATACGCCAAACTCATACCCAGAAGCTTAAATCATTCAAATAGGTAGGTGTAAGAGAATAATTTTGTAAAATGTTTGTAAAAAACCGGCAGAACTAACAAGCCTAATTCTTATTAATACTAAACTCCAAATGTATTTGTTACAGTGGCCCAATAATGGGCATGGATCGTTACTATGAGTGATCTATTCGATCAATAGTGCGCGCGCATCTGTTTACGATCTACCTACGAATTGCGCGAGCGAGCACAGAGCGATTCACATTTGAAATTTACTTGCCCGCCTATCACAGTGGCTTTTCTTTACAAACATATGGATCATATGTTTGTCATCAAACTTATATCGGGGCTTCAAGTATTACTTGGATTTTACATTAAAGTTATCTCACAGAATAATAGTCATTGATATATTAGAGTATACGTTATAGTAATTTTTCGAGCTTAAAGAAAATGCGCTCATGTACTGATTTGGTGTTACTTTGACTCAGAAAAAAATGCTATGACGCAGCTTTGTCTGGCTCACTAACAATCTGATTTCCTGGACTTCCTATTGAGAGGTGTCCCCTCTTGTTCAACATTACTTTTAAGCATGCATGCCTGGTATAATTTATTACAATAGAAAATAAATCAGATTTTAGTCAACACGACGTTATTTAGTCTCAGAAAAGCCTTCTTAATAGCCCAGTACAGTTCAGTTCAGTTTTGTCAATCACTAAGTTATCTGTTAAAGTAACACACCAATTTATACATTAGTGTATGTCAAACCACTTTTCCACAACAACGGATCAGTAATTGGCCAACTAGCTAAAGTTTTTTAAATGAAGTATGAATATGCATATTTTGTTGGGGGGGTCGGTCATTAAATAACACGCAGAATGTTAACAAATTATACATTGTTTAACACAAAAAAGTAACTGACTAATGTTTTAAGGTTATTCACCCCAAAAACGATGAAATTTGAGTATCGTAAAGGATTTTAAGGACATGTAAACTGGTGCTTTTAGATTTAAAATAAAAAAAACCGCACTGTAAAAACGCCAGCCATTTTGTATTTTCTAAATATCAAAAAGGCGTTTTAAGTTTTTTGCTAATACGAAAACCTGAACTTAGGGTAACTAGACCATGAAACTATCGGTCGGTCATTGTTTGTCGACACACCTCATCTAGGCATCCGAACCTTTGATGCGGGTCTCTACCAGACACTGCTTAAAACACATTTGCATTTGCCGAAAACGGAGACCAGTCCAGTTGCAAAAAACCCTCATATTGTATCCGAATCTTTAAAATTGTGCGTATTTGATCTACACGCCTTCCACTTAACTGTGTAGAGATCTGAGTGGAAAATAAAATTGGCGTGACACTGGCGCAAAACACTTTTTTTTTGTTGTGATTATTTCCTTACTTAATTCTTAATAATTATGAGTGTCGTATTATATATACTTGGGTCTCGAATTTAATGACCTACACTTTGCATTTAGATGCACAGAGAACATGTCACATTTTACATACATACATACATACCGTAAGAGTTGGCCATCTCGTAAAGACATGGGTGGCAAAAGGTAATAAAACAACTGTAATTCTCTATAGTAGCTTTACGCCCTCACACGCAATATAATAAAGCCAACTGAATAATGATATCTGTGATACTTGGGGCGGTCAATGCTGATTTTATTTAGCTCAAAGGTTAGTATATCACTAGGGTAATGAAGCGAACAAGTCATCATATGATTATCACATCCGAATGCTACACATGGAAGTCACAAGTCACAATCGTAGAATCACCCCATTGAAGTGCACTTACATTTAGTCAATTAGCCATCCTTAATCAACCATGAAGTTAACAGCAGTGTTTGATTTTTTTTTCATTTTTACTATTTTTTATTACTATGCTTTGACTAGTCGATACTACAGCCAGGTACAATTTGCACAGATAAAGCTTACGATGCCACAAAAATTTCAGTCTTGCTAGAACGTTAAATCGTGCCCGATGTTGATCGCGTCATTTGGCCATCTTTCTCATCACTCACTTACACACACAATAAGCAGCACAAGATATCACGACTATATTTAATTTTTTTCCTTTGTCACAGCTGGAAGAGAAAATGTGCGCGTACGAAAGAAGATCACTGCAAGACGCAGACCACGCTTTTTCACTAACAATACAAAATTTCAGTCTCCATATAAACTGCGACGGAGACTAAAGCAGGTAGAAGAAAAACAGGTTTGATAATAATAGAATAAGTACTTCATAATAAAGGTAAATGCTTATCAGTTCTGTATACGCCTATCACTATATGTATATATCTACACTGATCACGTGAAAACATTTATTTAGTTTCATATTAACAATGGCTATTATGCACTAATATTGTAATTTACGGCAATTAATTCCATTAGATTATACGTAGGCAGCGGAGTCCACAGCCAGCGCTACGTAACGCGTAGTTACAGTTACTATTTTGATAGGTATATAGCCAGAAAAGTGAAGAAACTGCCACGAACGCAGCGTCACTGACCGCAGCGACGGCAACACACAGTAGCTTACCACTATCCAACACTGCGCGAAACAAAGAGATGCCTTTTCACGGAACGACGGCGACGACAACATCTGCTGTTCCCAGTGGCCGGATTCTGCCGTCGAACCTTGAAGGTACTGGGTTTGGTGGATGTAAATGAAGAAATTTTTATGGTTTACATTTCTCCCATAGGCAGCAAGTCGAAATGTATCAATAATAATAAGCGAAACAGCAATAAGATTGCTCACTGCCCTTCCATTATAGTCCTGGCAACCTATAAGCTTACAGATCAGAATAGCCTCTAGTGATGTGTTTGCGTTGCATTGGGAACATAGAGGTTGACCAATGCTTCGAGAATTGAATGCTAATATAGTTACGAACTCAATTACTAACTCAGCGGATTGATAAACTCACATAAATAAACGAAACACGGTCGAAGTCGACGGCTCAAATCCTATAATAACCTAGAGCAGAAATTTGTTTTCAAATAAGCACTATGGATTGAACTATTGGATTCCCAGGGATTCAAGTGATGTCGATCGCCGTTGGACATCCAACTATCGGATGGTATCGTCATCATAGAACAGACAAAACCAACCAGCACCGAAATCCGAGCGAAGCAACTTTTAGGCAAAATAGCACTCTTCGATACGCTCTAGACGGCCTCTCGCGTCCAACTGACGACTTACTGTTTGCGCCCTCCCTCCGCTCGTTCATTTGCTGGCGGCTCGTTGGCAACCGGCTTAGTTTCTCTCCGCAGATGCTCACAACGAAATATTGACGATGTGGTTATGGCGGTCGGCGTGAGCCAGCAACGACGACGCCACACGGCACTGCATCGACACGCAGCGGAGGGTTACTGCTATCGTATACACACACACACAAGCGTTCGTCGGAGACAACTCAGCATCCCCAGCACAAACACCCCTAGAATAGAGTGGCCGCCTGGCGGCATCATGGCCCGGGTAGAGTCGCCATTAAACTTCGAGCAATCCATTCGTTCGTCTACGATATTCTGCGTTTCGGCCGTGGGCCTCGTGGCGCTGCGGTTGCTATTACTGCCGCTGCTACTGGCGCCATTCAACCCATCATCGTGGTGTTGTGGAGTTGGCATCGACAGCGGCTGCAGCTGAGACGGCGTTGCTGTTTGTTGTGCCTATTGTGAATAGAGGGTATGCTGCTGTTGCTGCTGCGACTCATAGCGTCTATCTGGCAAATGTGTGGTTGTCTTTTCCTTTTGCGCGCCATCTCCACTATTAGCATCGGTAGCCGCCGAACGAACAAGCGAGCCACCGACCGAGCCACCGACCGACCGACCGACCGACCGACACCGATCTTTCCCGTTCCAGCTCAGCATGGCGTTACCATAGCAACGGGTAGTCAATAGCTCAGCTATCGTTGAGCGGAGCGGTTTTCGCGTTGCGACGACGACGACGACGACGGCGACGGCGGCGGCACAGCGAACTCTCATCGATGGGAGCTCCCTCTGGCGTCTGTTTTCGTCGTTAGATTCTCCAGTAGCAGCAGCAGTAGCAGCAGCCTGAACTCGCTGTTTCTGCCGTTGCAGGGGTGAGCGGAGAAAGAAACTGTGTCTGCTCCGTTTTATTGTTGGCCTGGCTTCGGCTGGCTCTGCCTGTTTGCCTCCCTGCCAGACTATTACAACACTACACGATTACAATTGCCTTAGTGAGCCTAGCTCTTTGCTGCTCCCTTCTGCTGTAGCAGTCGCAGCAGGAGCCCCACTAGTAGTTGTAGCTGGAGCACTAGAAGAAGCCCTTTGCGCTACAGCTCTCATGCCAGCTACACACACATGCAGATAGCAGTCTAGCTGCTGGCTGGCTGCTGATGCTGGTATTCCTGCCTGTCTTTGTGCCTGCGTGCCTCACTGAGCCGAGGACTGGCCTGTTCGTTCGCGGGCTTTCTCCTCTCACTTAGTTGCTCTCCTTCCCCGTTGGTATCTGTCCGCCTGTTGTATTCGTGTGGTAGTGCTGTCCGTTTGTTGCTGCTGCTGGGTGGCTGGTTGACTGACTGACTGGTGCTGGCTCGCTGTCGCCGTTATCGCCCCGTCGTCACTACCATCACCATTACCACTACTCTACGGCCGTGCGCTCTGATTGTCGTCGACCCTACTCAACGACGACGACGACGACGATTGTGAGGGCAAGCAAAGCAGCAGCAGCAGCCGCAGCCGCAGCCGCCGCCGCCGCCGCCGCCGCCGCCGCCGCCGCCGCGGCCGCTGCAACATCATCGTCAACAGGAGCCAGTTGTTGTATGCCGTCGTCATCGTGGTGGTGGTGGTGGTGGTGGTCGTCGTCGTCGTCGTCGTCGTCGTCGTCGTCGTCGTCGTCGTCGTCGTCGTCGTTGTCGCCGTCGCCGTCGCCGTCGTCGTCGCCGTCGCCGTCATCGTCGTCGTCGTGGTGGTGCTGTTGGTGTTCGTAGTAATAGTGGCAGCGGCAGCAGCAGCAGCAGCAGCAGCAGCAGAAGCAGCAGCAGCAGCAGCAGCAGCAGCAGCAGTAGTAGTAGTAAGTAAGTAGAAACTGTGAGAGAGCTCGACTGCGACCGCTGCTACGGCCGCCGCGTTCGTCGTCGGGTAAGAGAGCTGCTGGCTGGTTGGCTGCGTTGAGCTGCAGCTACAGAACAGCAGCAGCAGCAGCAGCAGCAGTTGTAGTCGTGTGTGAGCTGTGAATGAGTCTGTGTTGTGTGAGCTTGTGAAAAACAACAGTTTGTCGTCGTCGTCGTCGTCGTAGTTGTGCGTCGTTCGTACGTTAATTCGTTGGTTTAGCCCTGTACAACTATTAGTAGGTTGGTTAGTTGGTTTATGGTGGCCAATCCCCATCGGCGGTAGCCTGTCAGGGGCAAAATAGAGAACGAACAGGAGGAAAAACCACGGCAAAAATTCACGACGATAACAGCAGCAGCAGCAATAGGAGCTAGGATATACGACCGCTGCCCCCCGCTCTCTGTCCTTTACAATTGTGATTTATGCAGCATAACTAGCACAGCTTTCAGGCAACTACAACTACTTCTACTGCTACGACCATACCACAGATACGACGACAACGAGTCAAGCCACGACCAAAAAACGGGAAAAAATCAGAGAGAGGAAAGCAGCGAGAGAAACAGAGAGAGGGAGGCAAGTGAAGAGAAAACACAGCAAAATAATAGACGAAACAAGTTTTTCCGTATGGTACGGCATGCAGGGATATAACGGCTTTTTTACGGTGACCAACGGATCAGCCAGCGGACAAATCGATAGGATAAAAGAGCAATCTAACGATAAATAAAACGATATTGTTGTGAAGACCAGTGACCAGTACGGCATGGAAGGCCATAACTACAGACGCAGATAGGATTCAGCTAACAAAATCGAGGCGGTGCTGTTACAGTTCGGTTCGATTTTACGCAGGAATAGATGTGGAGTGTATCGGTAACGCCTGGCAAGGATTAATATTTAGAATATGCTATAATATTAGCACTACAATTTACTATATTACGATTGTTACTACTGTGACCGCGATCTACGGTGCCCGAGAGATATTAAGTGCCGTCAGCAGCCGCAGCTCTGCTGGTTACGTCGTTGAGGTGTTTTCTTAATTAAGGACGCTGTGACTAAACCAGGATACAGCAAGACAGTGACAGAACAAATCATCACGCAACAGGAAGTGATTGTGAGATGCTATTACATTATCGATGCCAATGTTAGTAAAAAGAACACGAACCGTCCTTAGGAGGGATCGTCGCTATTGTTATTAGTTTCATTATTTCCATCATCGATTTGACCGTCGCCGCCGCCGCCGCCGCCGCTGCTGCTGCCGCCGCCTCGTCCTTTTTCTGTCCTCCAGTGCATTCACGATATTTGGCGATGAGTGTACAGACGAATCATCGTCGCGGTTGAAATTCTTCAGCTTCTCGTTGTCGTTTCCCCCCTCATCCGTTCGACTGTTTCGTCATTGTGCCAGATGAGTGTGCGTGCGTCGTCCATGGGTGTATATGCCATGACGTGTGTATTGAGTGAATATTTTAGTAAATAAGGTAATAATAATAATAATAATAATAATAAGCATCGTCATAATCATCAGCCGCAGCATAATCATCATAAGTGCGTGTGTAGATGTGTCGCTGCTCGGGGTGAAGTGGCGAAGGCGACAATGGATCTTTGCTTGTTGCTATAATTGCTGATGTTTTTTTTATCTTGCATTATACGGCATCGTTCCGCGACGTCGTGAACAGCAGCAACAGCAGAGTCATGTCGTAGTCGCCATTCAAAAATAGACCAACTGACCGACCGATGGCCCTCACGAGAACGCTTCATCGTCATCATTACCATCGTCATCATCACAATCAAAACAATACTGAATGCAGTGGAGTGTACCGTTCTGCGGCAGCCGGACAGCAACAACGGCGGCAGCAGCAAGTACAGTCGTCGTCGTCTATAATCAGTAACAACACGGACGAGTGCCACTGTCTGGGTCCGATACGGGCGACAACAGCAGCACCCCACAATTGTCGTGACGCCGTAGGCTGCAATTACGACCACTCTGGCCACAGCAGCGGCAGTGAATAAAGTAGCTGATAGCGGCGGTATACAGCTACGGTAACGGCCGCAGTCGTTGCAGCGGGTGTCCGCGAGCGACATACGAAAAGCACCAGCTCCTGCCAACAACGACGGCGACAACAATAGCCGAAGGAGATTTGTTCCGATCGGCAACGATTACTGCAGTGGGCAGCTGCAGAAGCTTTCTCTACTTACTAATCTGTCTGCCCGCTGCACCTGCTGCCCGTAACAGAGGACACTTGTCGCACCTCGTGGCGCTTCCGCCGTTACTGTACCCCCCTGATTATTCATTACTTCCCCACTTCGGTTTAATTCTCCACCTGAAGCAGCAGTAACAACGGCCGGGAAAGAGGGAGAGAAATAACAACATTCGACGACGGGGGCGGGGGCACTTTGCGGAATAGCTATCGCGCGCGCAGTTTTAAACAACTCGATAACTGCCGTCCCCGTCGCGGTTTGGTCACACTGTTAGTTACGTGCTGTGTCAACTGCAGTGGCCGACGCTGGAAAACTGTGCGGTGGAAGTAGCAGTATAGTACGGCCGCGACCCCAGCAGCAGCGACGACAACAAGCGACAGCACCGATCAACTGCACAGTCGTACATTGAAGCGAGCCCATAGTATCACAGAGCTTTGCAGTGGCATCATCTTAGCGGCTGCCTCGGCTGCGGCTGCTCGTCTCGGGAACGCCAACGAGGAGGACGACCGGCCGGCGGGCCGGCCGGACGTCGTATCAGCATTGCAACGACGAGGACGACCGCAGCAGCAGCAGCAGCAGCGACTGTCGTCTGTTGCGGTATGAGAAGGCGTGAGCTAAAGGTAGGTGAAAAATGGGCGAATGGGCGGACAATGTATTAACAATCTGTTGTCACAATCTCCACCGTCATAATCTGTTTTTAGGTAGTCAGGTCTATTTGTGTGCGTGTACACACGCAGCATCAATACCATCACTGCGACCATCATAGTCACAGTGACCTCCAGCTCTATCAGCTCATCCAGCACGAGGAACTATGTATTTGCTGTACATTGTTACTTTGTGAAGTCTGAGTGCGTGAAGGAACGGACGCGTGAGAGAGGATCAATAAGTAAGTTGGTGCATGCGTGTGTTCGCGATAAAGTAGAGGTGGAGCTATATGCTTTCGAATCTTTTGTTATCGATCCGTCACCGTCGTCATTGCACGGATTATCTCCTTCCGGGTGGGTCATCTGAGACACGATGTCCAGAGGGCCTTGTTCACATATTACGGTGGAATAGTGTTGGGCCGAGCAGGCCAGGCAGGAGCTACCTGAATACAATGGAAAAAATGCATTTGTACAGCTACGTATGTAACTGTGGAACCCTTTGGAGTTCTAAATGAAACGTTGCATTCGATGATGCAGAGGGCAAGGGCTTCCAATCCATTGTCCTGCCGACATCCTCTCATGGATATCTCCTTTCTTCTCTAGCCAGACAAACAAGTGCATTGTGGTCAAATCGAGTGGTTCTACTACGGCCTGAACGACTTACGCGTTTGTCTGCTTTCTGTATCAGCAAGGTTTGGTCTTGCACTAGCCCTCGGTGAAGCGTTCTACTCACGTTTATGGCCTTCATAACGGAAACATATCCGCTATGTATCTACGCTCCATTCAATCAAACGAAAATTGAGCTCAACTCCGCGCCGGCGTCGCCCAAAGCGCTGTACAGATTGCTGATTGTAGCAGACGTTGTGCGATTGTTAGAACACGTAGCGTGGTCACCGCGAATTTTTTCGCAGAGACCTCTAATCCTATTGTTTCAGGATACCGAGTTGGATGTGATTCTGTGTATGTGCTAATTCATTGATTCAGTTAATGTTTTGGCAAATATTCGGTCTCGTTGTTATCGCCATTGCGGTTGTAGGCAGTTATTGATGCTACTGTTACTAATGGTCGCGACGGCGGTGGCAGCGTTCGACCAGGTCACCAGAATGCATAGAAATAGATTCAGATTCTGGCCGCTGACGCTGCGAGTGGAGCGTCCGGCAATGCCAATGCCCACCTCCCTTACGCGTCGCGCAGCGATCGACGACAGCAGCCGCTCTGCTACATTACATTGCTGATGTGTATGCATCGTTTCGGAACAATTGCTGGACATCCGTTGATGCGCATACATATAGGATCTGGCTCAGTCGGGTGGTTTATTTAGGCGGACCTGTCTACTAGCTTGTCGGCCTCGACGGAGGCCTTTTCCTTGCTTGCTGCCTTTTCTTTGACTGTTGTCTGTCCTGGCTGTGGTCTCAGACTCACGCTGGTGGAGGGGTGGTGCTAACTGGGCAGGATCGGACTGTGGTGCCAAATGGTATCGCGAAGTTGCCTGTGCTCCACGAATGATCACGAGGATGGCGGTCGGTAGCACAAGCGTCACCTCCGTGCGTCAGCGTCGTCGTCCGCGTCGACGGTGTTGGAGTTCGTGATGCTGGTCTCCTTGCAGCAACGGGTCGGGGGATGGATTCAAATCCATAGCCCCGACCGACCGAGCCGACGAACGTAGCAGGCGACCAGCGCTCGCTCGCCTGCCCGCCCGCCCGCTTGCGTTAGCTATAACCAAGCTCGCTCGTCTGTCTGCCTTTGCTGGCTAGCTATGAGTAAGTCCGCCAGCCGAGCTGATTACCGAGCCGCGTTCGTCCCTCTGCTAAACGTTTGGTGGTCTCGCCAGGAAACGGTCGTCCCCGGGCGATACCACTCGACCGGTCGACGAACAGCCACAGCAGCGAGCAAGCGAACGCTGCACGGCAACGGCGGCAGCGGGCGGGTTAGTCGCGTAGCTAAAGCTAGGCCAGCCAGTCAGCAGCGGCGGAGGGTAACAGCAACACAAGCGTACAGCCGCAGCGGCAGTAGTCCCAGCTCAGAGAGATGGAACCGTGCGAAGAGCGCCAGCGAAACAAGAGCCAGCACACGACCTCAGCAATGGCAGCAACAAAAACCATCATCATCATCGCTACGGTGCTGCTGCAAGAAATTTCCTGCTGCCTGGAACCACAGCACCGCCGTCGCTGCCACGGCAAACGTGCAACAACAACAAACGGCCGATGTATATTGGCGCCACTATTTCAGATATACACACATATGTATGTATATAAATGGGTGTCATCGTCGTCACAATCGTTGCTGGTAACTATCGTCGTAATAGTGACCACGAGGAGGCGAACGTTCTCTGTTATCGTGTTTTCGGGCTTGCGCTTCGCTTCTGTCGCCGCGGTCGTTACGAACGTTTTTCTCGTTACTAGCTACAACAGCCGCTAGCTATTGCTTCGCTCGCTACCCGTCAGTCGACCGCCATTGCTGCTGTTGTTGTTGTTGTTGGGGATGCGTGGCGTGGCAACAAGGACCACAATGATGATGACGCCAGCGATGACGAGACGGGAGATGAACGTGGCGGTTGAGGCGGCGGCGGCAGCTTTCAGCGCTACGCTGAACGATGCCACTGCTGTAAATAAGAGGGACGGACTGACAAAGACGCAACTGCGATGAGCGAATAGAGCGACGGGAACAAACGAGACGAGATGCAAAACCAGAAAAGACTTCGAGCAGCCGCAGCACAAAAGCAGCAGACGGACGCCGACAAAATCGTCAAGCGAACGTTGTAGCCGAATAGACCGGGATAAAACCGTATCTATTGAGGCAGTTTGTAATGCAATAGACAGTCGTTAAAACTTGAAACAATTATTCGATACTGCGGCGATAGTAAGCGATATAAGAAACATCAGCCATGGCTAGCGCCTGCGAAAATCATCATCGATCCGCTCCGGACTATCTGCATGTTCTGCTGTAAGGTGAGCAGAAATGTAAAGCAGAGAGTACAAAGCCAGGACGAAAACACGCGCGGCATTGCCTCGACGCAAATTTTGCCGCCCTACTTTCTCGGTGACGCAAAGTGTCCTAGGAGTCTAAAAGAGAGGCGGCATCCTCGGCGACGAGGGCGACGACTATCATGCAAGAAGCGTTCGATGGGGCAACATAATTGCTAGCTTGGTCAACGGTTATGATCATATGGCGACAGCATCATCGAGTGACTGTCGCGCCACGACTTGGACGCACAGAGCGGTCGCCCGCTATGCAATTGTATAACCATTACCGTACCGAATTATAATGGAATTTTCTGAAGTTTTTACGGGCATAAAAACGCGAAAAGCGAACGAAGCTCCCCGAATTCGCGAGTCTCCAATTAGCTACGACTATGGTAATTGCGACAGAGGCTTTTTTCTGTCCCAAATGATTCATAACGAATTGTTTGTTTAAAGTATAAAGTGTCCGAGACAAGAGATTATTGCATCGAGAGTGCTTAAGTATTAGAACTTTGTACCTTTATCCCGATGTTGTGGTAAGCAGCCCGTCAATCGTTTGGGAGGCCTTAGTAGTAAGCCACTTCCTTGATACTGGATACTCTACAACACAGACTTTGTCCGCTACTGCAGCAGCCGACCAAAAAATAAATCTGGTATTTACAGAGTCCTTATCTAAAAAGATTATATAACGTAATGTTATCAAATATTTTGTCTGGTGTCACAACGATAACAGTTAAAGATTTCAGAAATAATTCTTCTTTCTTCTACAACAATTCGTGACGAACTATGTTTTCATTTTAGCAATATATCTTTGTTTTCATCACCGTTGGAACAAGGATAGTGATTTGTTTAGCCAAGATTTGTTTGTGAAGCGCGCTTTTATTGCGGCGAAGACACCTAGACCTCAATTCTGAGTTTAATTAGATTAAATATCAGACTCCACGTCAGTCTGGAAGCGTTGTGTCTTAACTTACCGTGCTTTTTATGCGAACAAATATATACACTATATTTGAAATATAGCTGCTTAACAAAACATATCCGTGTGTGACATGATCCTTCTTCGTTATCGCAAACGGCACAATTGATATAACCGATTAGAATTGTTGAGTCACCTTTCGGAATCTTTTGCTTCTCTCTTTAGATGAAACAGGAGCAGGCCTAATTAATTGTTGAAACTTTATGTTGGCATTACCGTGTCGTACAGGCTCCAAGAGTCTTCAGCCTAGCCCAAATGGCGTTGGGTTGGAGTAGTATAGCAGATATTGGGCCTTACAGCCCTTGCGAGTATCAAAGAACTCGCTGTTCTTCGGAGACTTGCTTACTTCTCACACAATAGAGCACTGAATGGCATCTACCTAGTCCATGCGCGTGTATATGTGTGTTATAGTGGACAAGGTCATGTCCTTCAGCGGCTCTTGGCATAGATTTACCGATCATCTTGATGGGACTTTTTGTTCGAATGAATTTTACTTCGTAGGTAGCTGCATATTGCTGCTAGTTAGCTTAGACTACACCAAAACAGACAGGCAGATTCTCTTTTTAATTTAGTAACGCATCATATGTACGCTGAACTTTAAACTATATTAGGGACCGGCTCATCTATTCTATTAGGTTGGATATAACTGAGCAAATTTACAAATAATAGGTGCTTTACACAGCTGCTAGAGTAAGCTTCTGTATAAGACGTATTTTTTAAGGCGTTTGCAGTTGCGATTCGGTCGACGGCGGTTGGAAGCCTAAGATTTTAGAGGAAGGGAAAAGAGAGAGACGCAACAAAGCTTTAATGTTTGTATATAGTACGCGTCGTATATCGAACACAACAAAAAGAAGAAATAACAATGAATTTATGTTCGTCAGGCCATGTGTACAAACGCTTGCACCAACCGATTTTGTATAATATATGTGCAATGCGGCTTATGAATAGGAGTGGCGACGCTGGTCATGTTTCCACTACGAGCATGCTACACATGTGTGCTGTGCGGCCGTAAGATGCAAACGCTCTCGTGCCTTACTTCGCTTATTTCTTTCTTCTCCCTATATATATATATATATATATATATATATATAGTAATGCGTGCTTGTTTCCATATTGTGAGCGCGTCTTTCGTATGAAATAGCTACGAGATGTTCATGTCATGATAATAATAGCAGCAGTGACAACTACTTGAGTTACTATTAGTAGCGGAGGCATCGCCGATGTCGCTTGGTAAAATCAATGTCCTCTACTGAATATTTAATTTACCTTTCTGTTGTTGGTTAACAATTTGCACCCCGAATTATATATATATATATATATATAATAGGAGCACTAGCAGCAATAATAGCAACTTTTGCAACTGTTGAGCGAAAAAGTTAAGTTGTAGAAAAAAAATGGCCAGTGAGAGGGGGGCAGCTCATGATTGGTAAATATGTAGGGTGTATAAAGGCCACAAGAGTGAAGGGATAAAATGGCCAAATCTAGACTGGAGCAGATTGCTACAACTTCTTCGGTGTTTCTTGTGCTGTGAAGATGACAACATCAAGCTATTCCGTCTAGAGATGTCTTGCCTGCCTAACCGGTTGCCGGGAGCTATCGACATTGTCATCACACACGCACACATATCCGACCTAATGGGAAAAAAGGGCCAGGAGTTGGATGGATAGAGTGGTTGACATAGGGTAAGGAAGGAAGTTGCAGTTTTTGCTGTAACTGCAAGTAGTTACATGAAAGCGTTGCCGTGTTCTCTGCTTATCGCCGTTCGGCCTACGTTCCATCGTCAAAGAGCGTGTTGCCTATCTGTAACTGCAAACAGGACGAATGTTGGTTTTTGATCGGCCCAGGGTCTGCTTCACTACTACAGTTATGCTTGCTTTCGTATGCTTCTATCCATGGTAAATATATTGAATCAATCTTCTGTGGAAAAAGCAAGGCCCTCCATTATTGGTCAATATAGAGTCCTCCTACTACTCACTCTGGCCCTCCCAGGAATAAGGTTATAGGCACACGAACCCAGAGAACAGCGAAATGTATGATATGCACCGCATTGTGCGATGTTCGTTTTTCTTATTTGTTCCTATAACATTATTTGTACGTAGGAGTTTATTTTGGAATAGAATTATCATTGGAAACTACAGTCTACGCAGGAGTTTATTTTGGAATAGAATTATCATTGGAAACTACAGTCTACGCAGTGTTTAGCTCGCAATGCTTGCGTTCCTTTTCTAAGGCAAATTGCTTCCTACTACGGCGTATCGTTATAAGGTTTTTTGTATATTGTCCGAGATCCTATGCTGGGATTTCTGTCTTCTGTGTGAGTTAGATAGACAGTTCGAATATACCATGGATTCGAAGAATGTGAAGTGATACCCAACGGCTTAAATAGCGGACGTAAACATGAAAACATAAATACGAAGAGATTTCTTGAGACTTGACAGCAGATGTCTCTAAGAATTGTGTTCATTGAGCGTCCCTTAGTGACACTTCAGATACTTTGACCCCACTACAAATAGTTTTAGTCTGCCTATGAACGCTTTTAGAACTTCAGGGGATCGTTTGTGAGTCTTAGCGAGATAGTCACTTAGCCGTCATTGTGTCATCGACGGTAATGCATCATTCGATTGTTATACTGCATTTGGAGTGCCTTCCATTGGAGGATATCTATGGCTAATTTTTGTTACCTGATAGGTAATATTAATGGATGAATAATTTCTCTGATTTCAGTGCACTTCAGAAACTCGTTGATGTTTACTGAAGTATAGCAGTGCGATATTTTTCTCCGCTTTGCGTTATCTATCTTACATATCTATAAATATATTTTCGTTTAGCGTTGCCTGCGAGAGATTTTTACGAGTAAACCGTGTGCTACGACCTATTATAATTTATAGATGTTTGGAACTTCTTTAAGAACCCATGTGACAAACTACTTAGAGTTTGAGTGTTTCAAAGGGAGTTCTCATGTTTTTATAACAGAATAATAATAAAAATGCATGTTATATTTATATAGGTTTTCTATTATCTGCGCGCCTCCACTTCGATTTCCTGCTTTATCTGTCAGATCTTGCAACATCAACGACTACTACCCATACGATTAACCCTATTTGCTGACGATGCTACATTTACATTGCATATATATCTATATGCGCATATGTGAGTATAGCGCAAATATAGCAAGAGCCACTATTACTGTTATTGTCGTAACAGTACGGCTGGGATAACAAACCTTTAAGGGTATTATAACGTCATCTTTTTGTCGACGGACGGTTAAATGCGGCGACTGTAGCAAATTGTAGAGTCGTTTCGGGGAGAGGTGAAAGTAATCGAGTCGACTCGGTCTTCGAGGTCACGCTAGGTCATTGAGTGTCACGCAGCGATACATCCTTGCCATTCTCGTCTGCTTTTCGTATATATGCATATATATATATA